TAAACCACCGTGGCTTTAGTTTCTAGAAAAAAATGCATTCATTAGATAAGTGAGGGTTACAGGCTGAAAATTAAATTTATAGGAAATGTCCAATTTTCTCTTCCTGCTCCAGGAGTTTCTGTCAGTTCAGGCAGTTAAATTCAAAGTAATGCCACAAGAAAAATTCCTGGCAAGCAAGCATGCCCAATCTATATGGCTAAGAACTAAAAAAGAGCCTGTATGTAAGACAAATACATTTTTCTGTTATTTCAGATTACAGTAAGCTGTATATGAATATATAGTCACAAAAAGGAAAAAGGAAATATCTTTAGCTTTTTAGGATTTATTGAGGCAAAATGAAACTTGTTTATTCCAGGCTTCATACCTTTTACCTACATTTGCTGATGATTTTAGCTGTGATTTATAGCAAAGTAGAATTTCCAAACTCTTATTATATATTCCTGGCTCTTTCTTGCATAGGACCTAGTTTTGAATCAAATGAAATTTTTGTAAATGGAAAACTTTGATCTATCCAAACTTTTCTACATTTAAGGAGTCCCAAGAGAAAAGCCATATATCCCTGTATTTCCCTCTTCTGCCAAATGTGATTTTGGTTTTATGGATACCTGACACAGTAACCCAGTCAGCTGATAGTTTCATTTTCTAGCCATCTTCTGTAGAACAGCCTTGTGAAATCTAAGCCTCCAGCTGCAGAGCAGAGAGATAGCTTGGGTGTGTATTGCTCTCCACTGGTTTCAGGGGACTAGCATGCAGGTCTCTTGGCCGCTTAGCATCCAGACGTAGCACCAGGTAATAGGAAAACATATCATGACTATTCATTGTTGTAATAGTAGGAGGTGCTGAAGAGCCTCAGCTGCTATACCCCAGAGCTGTTAGCTCTGGTGGACTCCCATACCTAGTTGAAGACTTGGGTAAGGGGAAAGGGGCTTTATGACACTGAACAAGAAAGGGAATTGCCACAGCTATGTCAGGTGGAGTGGATTAAACAGTTGCAATGCAGTCAAACATGGCATCTCAGCTCCTAATGCATCAGCTTGTGAAGAGAGCTGTAGAAGGGATAGATTTTTCAGACTTCTGGTTAAACTGAAAACATTGAAGGGGTAGAAACACCAAATTGCTTCATCGTTGAGGATTTAATTTCTTGACAAATGAAAAATTAGAAAAAAAAACTGGCGGAACTGAGTATCCCAGCTAGGAAATACCATTTCCGAGGCTTAAAAATATTGTGTAAACATTGTAGGCAACTATAAATATTGGCAGAAAAATGAAGCAGAGGTTTTAGGGTATTTTTAGAATACATTAGTATATGAAAAGCTTTATGTTGATTTATTTCAATGTATTGTTCCTGATCACAGCTAAGGTTACATTCGCATGGCACAATCTTATGCCCTGATGACTACTTTCCGTTCTGAATGGGTTCATTTCTCAGGATAATGAGCTCAGACTACACTGCTTCTTGTATCTAGGTTAGATTGCATATTATTATGTGAAGCTAGCTGTGTACTATACAGACATCTGAAATGCTCTGTCATCAAAATCCAGTTGGGCTAGACAATGTCTCTGAGAGTGTGTGTTTGCAAAAAATGTCTATATTTATGTATTTATTAGGCACTGAAAATTCATTAGATTTTCTGGGATTCAAGAGTCAGTATTCTAACATCTCATTTGTATTTGTCTTTAAAAGTATCATTGCCACTCTCTGCTTTACCAAGACCTTAAATAAAATAACTTACATTGAATGAAAATCGCAGCTTAGAACCATGAGGTATTCGCAGGTTTTGAAGTGTTATTGATAAATGCAGTGTTAATGATCTGACAGATACAAAATTATGGGTTTTTTTTTCTAAATAGAGCCATCTCTTGAATTTCCTTAATTAATGTGAATTGGTATTTAATTTTCAGGGAGGTTAAAACTGGCAGGCTGGGATTCCTCTAATTATTCTGTTTGTGATTCTGGTGCTGATAGCCTAACTATGAGCTTCCTTATGCAGGGCTGCTAGGAACTTCTAGTCAGATAGATGAGTATTTCTAGAAATGAGAAGTAATTGAGTGTCAGCACTTACAAATGCCTTGTGTGCTTTTTGAAAAGACACCACCATCTGTGTTGTGTTGAATTAATTGTACTTATTTCAGTGATGTGCGTGTCTGTCCAGTTAGAGCAGAAAATAACATTTTAATTTCAGGGATGTCTGTGGGTTGATTTTTAGCTCACTGGAAACAGGAAAAGCACTAAAACTCTGCCTCTGCTCTTATTAGGTTTTCAGTCCAGAATTGAAAGGAGTATATTCATAATGTGTACATACCTCTCAGTATAGTGCTATGCAGACTTCGACCTGAAATTACCTTGGTCCTTAATTTGCAACCGATGTTCAAGTACCCTACGAGGAACTCTGCATTAAATAGATTTGAGATGGTGATGTTTCTGGTATCTTTACTAGGACAAGCAAAGCCTCTGCTGTTTTCTGAAGTGGTAGAGAAGTTCTTGCAGTACATGTCGATATTTCATATCTCAGAAGGCTTTTAGGGATTATGCCAAAAAAGTCCAGTGGTATTGTTTGTTCAGGGACAGAATTGAGAATCACTGCTACATTGTTATGTGAATCAGGGCCAAGATGAGATGAAACATTTTAACTTTCTGGGCTAACAACTCCCAAATGTATTTCTTGAAAGATTGATAAAGGGACAAGGAGATGGTGTGGCTTTGGCCAGATGTGGACTCAACTGTGTATGATCAAAGTGGGAAAGCTGCCCAACTGTGCGCCTGAACCATTCACATGCTGGGTCAACTTGTACTCATGGAGACTCAGGCTCATTTATGCCTCATGTTTCTTCTGCTTCTGCCTCCTTAGCAGATATGTGTTTAAACCAAGTACTTGAGTAATGTTCTGTGTCAAAAAATAGTGCATCAACACAAGCCAATGACAGCCCTAAGTGTCAGGAGATTGAAATGTCTCCTTTCATAGGATAAACCATATAGTTTGCTTCTGGAATGCTTGTCTTCTCTTATAAAAGGTTCATACACAGTGAAGGTTGCATATTGCAAGTACTGTGCTTCTGTGAACAATTTAGGCAATGTACAGTTATTTTAATGTTGTTGCATCTTTTTCAGCAAAATAACCTCATTATTAAGGCTGAATCTGAACTGAGACGTGAAACATCCATGCAATGTGGGTGGAAGTAAAACTGTGAAGCTATGCAGCATTTCCTTACAAAGCTTCAATGAGTTGGGTACTTCCCTGAAGAAGACATTTTTCCTCTTTGTATGCATATTAAGTTATCTATAATGCAGTAAGAAATTCTAATTCTGCCATGCCCTATGTGCATATAAATATTGTGTATACACAGCACTCCTTTACAGCATTTTCTTAAAATTTTGTACAATTTGATTTTGTTTAATCTGTGCTGTTTCATGCCAGAACAAATGACTATGGATTATTCCATTATATGTAGTGGAAAATGGTTCAGAAGTGTCAGTTTGGAGATTTTGGTAAAAAATGGAGGATTTGTAGGTGAAAAGTAATCTTTAATACAACATAGTTCATAATTGTTTTGGGGATGTAAAGCTCAGCATTTTAACTAGGCCTTTGTTCAGATTAGATTTAGTATATTTAGCATAGTTTTACAAATGTTGTAAATGTACACAAACATTCCTGCTGATTCTAGATTATTTATTGCCTCTTATGGAAGTAATTAAAGCTTCTTTCCCATGCCTGGAAGTGTTCAAGGCCAGGTTGGATGAGCAACCTGATCTAGTGAGTGGAACCTTTGCCCTTGGCACTGGGTTGGAACTGGATTATCTTTAGAGTCCCTTCCAACCCAAGCCTTTCTATTATTCTTCTCTATCTGCAGGCTATTAATTGAATCATAATACACTTCTAAACCATGCAACTCTTAAATAGTCCTAACAAATTCTTTCCTGAATGACATCTGGATATATTATATTTTCAGGCTTGCTTTATTGCACAGTGAATTTTGTCTGATAGTATTCGGTGTTTTGAGGAGGGGAAAAAAAGTGAGACAGGTTTCTGTGTCATATAATATCTTACTGCATCTGTTATGTGAAAAGTGGAATTTTGAATAACTTGGGTACAATTAGTTGATTCTGTGATATTTCCCTCTTACTTAGTGCATAGTGATATGTTTTTCTTTCATATGATTTATATATATATATAATATATGTATTATATATGTTATATATATTATATATATATAATCAAGTTATAGCTGCTGTCTTGAAATCCTTGTATTATGGAAGCTACATGGGACATAGGGCATTTGAATGCTCAGTTATGCCTGACTCAGATCATGCAAAAATGAGAAAAAAATGAATTGAATCCAAGCAGTTAAAGATAGTAGAATGGAATGGAATAAACTAATTCAGTTGGAAGGGACTTACAGTGATCATGAAGTCCAACTGCCTGATCACTTCAGGGCTGACCAAAAGTGATCTTGCAGATTTTTATTATGCAGAAACCATTGCAGGGAAACCAGAATTAATATGTAAATTTTGTATGTCCTGCTGCTGAACATGCACGAGATACAATGTAAGCAGGTTAAAAAGCTGAACACCTCCCTTTCCCCCCAAAACATGAACAGTTTTGGCTTTGTCATTTTGACCATAATTGCTTTCTGCTGCAAAAAATAGAAAAAGATTTCTTCATATTCAGCAAGCTTTGCAGCTACTAATAGCTTTTCTCTCCTCTCTTAAATATTTTTCAATGTCTTCACTTAAAAAATTTATTAAATGTAGGAAGAAAGGGGAAATTGACTGCACTGAAAGAATATAGTATTTGCAATACCATAACAAAAATCCCAAAGTGAAGCCTTAGTGCTACATTTTTGTCTGGCACTTTTGTAGGTGCTCTGTCTCCTTAACATGTGGTCCTTGAAATCACACAAGTCTGTTGTTTAGAAATATATTTGCTATGGCCATAATCTTCAAAAACAACCTATTACTCTGAATATGCATCTTATAAGACTAAACCATTTGTTTTCACCAGGATGAAACACCCTGAACTCCAGAAGCAGTCAGCATAAATCCCACGTAATTTTCATCTATACAAACCAGACTTCTAGGTTGAAACCTAAACTTCAGCAATGCCAGTCCAAACCTGAACTTTAGGAGTTTATATTTGAGAGTGGAATGGAAAGTCTTGAAGTTTTCTGTACCATTAATATATAAAGTAGTCTGTCTCTTGGTTTAGGCTGAAAGCAGTTTGTGCCTTTGTTCCTAATACTTTTTTTTCATATTTTCAGACCTTAACTATGTCAAATGTTTTATTTTTTCTCATCTTTGAAATGTTTCTTTTTCTAAGGAAATGTATGCTTTTAAATAAGCTCTAAGGATGTTGTGTTTGCACACAAGTACTTAAAAGTCTTTGAAGTTATTTTTTAAAGAGCACACATTCCTTATATCTTTGCCTGATTGCAAAGCTGTGTAGTGGTGAATGACTTTACTAGATAAAGTTCAAAATCATGACCTCTACAAAATCAGAAATATACAAGCTACAGTTTGGAAAGAAAAATGATCTTAAAATGCTTGTTCCTCCAACTGGTCCTGTAATACCTCCTTGCTCGTTTTACAGGAGTGAATACTCTGCACCAGTCGACATAAGGATATCTTTCAGCTTCATTGCAGCTGAAGTCAGTGACTTCATACTGAAAGAGGCTGGTTTTGAGACTACAGACCATGACAGTTTGTAACAGCGAAGCAACGTACATGTCTGTGTGAATACATAGCCATGTATACCTGTAAGTAATACAGACTTGTCTGTATCTATGTATGCCCAGATTTAAACTGCAGCTGGCATGATATGGAAAGTATTTAAGGAATTTTATAAGCTTTGTGGAAAAGAAGTAATTCTGAAAAATGTACTAGCAGTTACACCTACTGACAAATGAGAATAGTGTTCTTTTTTTAAATCAGAAAGCTCTATTATTGGGCCAACAGAGTTTTATGGTAACAGTTTTGGAGTCATTGATGCCTGGAATCTTAGAACTGGGCAGTTTTACCATAAACTTAGAGTCAATGTTCCCCTTTTAATCCTGTTAATTTTACTACATTACTTATGTTGCAAATTAACTGCATCACAGTATTTTAATTGTGTTCATAGTCATTTTAAAAATAGTTGATGGAGATAAGTCATTTAATTATATTTTATCAGTAAGAAAGCATTAGCTCTGCTGTGACTGATAGCTAGCAAGGCCATCTGCAATGCTTTTCAGTTCACTCACACTGAATTGTTCAGATAAGGACTGTCAAGTGCTGCCTAAAAAAGGAAGGAGCCGTGGTGGCATTAAGTGCAGTGGAGGACACAAATCCAGGCATGCTGGAGGATCTGAGCTGTTTCCTGCAGCACTGAACCTTTTCAGAGTTTTCATTGTTGTTTCCTGCAAAGTATTAAAATGCGAGTGTCTGTCATTCAGGATCTCAGGGAGGATGAAAATGGGGAAGAAGAAGAAACGGTGAGTTAAACCCCAATAGCTTTTAAAAGTACTTATTTCCTTCTGTTGTTACTCTTTAGGACGATAAACTTGGAATGATTACCTTTCTCTTACAGGTCTTCCTCAAGCCTGTTATTGAGGATAGAAATATGGAACTGGCCCGAAAATGCAGTGAATTAATAAGTGATGTAAGTGATGGTGACTATTTGCATCCTTATATTTGAATTTCTTTTTTCAAATGTGTTTATATTTATGATACATATTTTCTCAGATATGTACAGTGTAGCATGTACCCATCCAAAGCTCAGATATAAAAGCACACAAAGTAATAGAAAAGCACAAATTATTCTAGTACCTTAAGTTATCAGCCACAGAGGGATAAGCTTTTCAGAGCACTTTGATGGTATGAAACGCAGGCCCTAGAAAGGAGAATGTTTCAAAATGTCTGTCAGGTGTCTGCCATGAGAACACCTTGGCTGCTTTCAACAGGAAATGCAGTATTTGTTCTGATTATAGCGTATGTAGTTTTATTGGTTTGAACAGAACAGCTTCCTACATAGCTAGAAGGAGGGAGGTTGAAAATGAATTTTGAATGTTAACTATTGGTCTGTGGTCACAGATGCTCAGAACTGCTCAGCATATTGTATTGACTACGCTTATAGGACGAATCCATTGAAATGCTAGAATAACTTTAAAAATTATTTAACTAGCTTATTCTTGACTTAGTTACTATAGATTTTTAAAATTGTTTATCAGTTATAGACATTATATAAGCATCATCGATCAGATCCAAGAAATTACTGAGCAGAGAAAGACTTTAAAATATTCTAAAGAAACTGAAAAGTGATGTCAGGCTCATGTTGTGTTGTAATCTTTATTTAGATTTGTGATGTTTATTTTATGGGAATAGAACATATAATCTACCCTTTAGGTATAAATTTTTAGGGGTTATTAGAAAAAAATAGGTAATTCAGAAGAACAGTATCTGGGGTGTGTAAGTGTTACAGTGCTGGCTTGAAAGTGTGACTTGACAAGGTCAAAGTTTCCTCTTTGTCCATATATCTACTTCAATTTTCACAGAAAGAATGCTGGAAATTGGATAGATCCTTAAGAGAGGGTACCAAGATGGCTCCCTTGTAATCTCAATCTACTTTAGGAAGTAGTAGAGATTAATAATATTTTTTACTGATAGCTATCTACATGCTTTCTTTGGGAAAAAATGGCATATGGTGCATTAAGTGCCTGTCAACTCATGTAAAGGCCAAATTGAAAATGGACCTGGAGCACTTATCTGACCCAAAATACATTTATTGCTTCCACGCAGCTTCTTTCTAAATGTGATTGCCGTTCTTAAAGGCAAAAACTTATTGAAAAGTGCTAAAGAAATATTTTCTTTAATTGAAAAGGAATTACTACTATGCTGTGTACCCATTAGGAGTAATGTTGGCCGTGGCTCTTAATTAACTGACAAATGGAGTGGCTGTATTTTCTCGAATTTTCTGCAGGGCCTTGAGAGCTAGGGTGAATAACTAAGTCAAGCCAGATTTCTCAACCTTGTAATGGTTCAGGGATTTTTTGCTGTAAACTTGTAATATGTTTAGCCTACAACTGTGTTAGATTTTCCTTGAGATATGTCAAGCATAATGGCAAAGTATCATTAATGCTTTCAAAGCAACAACAATATGTACAGGTCCAGACCAATTTAATTTAAAAAAAAAGACTGTTTAAAAATAGCTTTCAAATTTAGGGCCTTATTCAGCCTCTGGTGAAATCAGTAGGTGTTTCTTCCTTGGCTTTAATGGAATATGTGCATTTGTAGAGTATGAATGTTGGTCCCCAGAATTTTTGCTATAATGGAATTTCTTATGTTCAGTGAAGTCCTTTGTGCTGGGGGATAAATTGTTTACCCTGCACACTTCATTGTGGAGACCAATAAACCACCAGGAGTTTGCATTCTTACCTTTGATTTTTGACTCATTGACATTCAGAACTTTTTATATATTCCTTATCCTTTTTACCATGAACCTTTGCAGAAACTACTGTTTGTGTGGATGTATCATTGGTATACATCTGTACGTTTTATGTGTACAGTGGTTTTATGGCACTTGCAGTTTGGCCCTAAGATGACCTTGGGAGAGCAGCCTGTGTCCTTGCTGACCACGAGACTGGGTGATTGTCTTTCTCTGATGGTGGAGCTGTCAGCACAGCTCCTCCATCAGAAAGCAGTGCCAGGAGTGCACATACCTGAGATACTGGGGTTGCATTATGCTTGCCCTGCATTCTTTGCTGACTGACTTTAATTTGGCAATATGGATTTAAAAAAGTGTTATGATGGCAGTCCTTAGTGCATGCATAGCTGTCAGCCTTGAGCTGTATGTAGGGGAAGTTGTGTTAATGTGCTCCTGTTCTTGAGGAAATCCCCAGTTTTGTTTGAGGTTGGCAGTTGTTTGTTCTGTGGCTGTGATACCCCTGGATTGTTTCTCTCAACAGCCATTTCATTTAATCTCTCTCCATGATGCAATTTAATTCCACAGATGTTTTCAAAACTGTCGTGTGTTTGACTTATATGAATTACCTTCCTTTTCAGGCATTTTCTCTTCCATGTTGAAATTACGCCCATCCATTTGCTTGAGGCGTATTTTCGTATTTGTTTTGATTACGTGGTGTGATGTTGTCGATACTATTATAAGCAGAGATGGGAATTATTATGCATGATATTTGACCAAACTATCATAATCCTTTTCAGTAGAATGGCAGACACTCTGCCACTGAGGATTCTGCTCAGTTTTGGTCATGTGTGGTAACAGTGCATCTTTTCCCCTATATAAAAAGTAGAACTACTTGCCATTTAGCTGTCCTTGCTTTATCATGTCTCTGTTATAAAGGCCAAAAAGACCTAGAGTCAAGTGGAGAAACAGCATGCCTTTCCACTCATACCAGCTGGGTTCTGATCACCTAATTCTGGGTGCAGCTGTTCCCCTGCGCTCGCCATTACTAGCCACACCTCTAATTCAGGAGGACTTTGAGGTCCAAATTGCTGGAGAATACTAAAAGACTGTGGAGTAATAGTACTGTATGCCTGCCATCTATTTTCTCATGCTTTTCTCTCGGTTGCTGCAACCACAGAGACAGGATTTTGTATTAGATGGATCTGTGATCCAGCACAGTTCTTAGTCTTATGAGAGATTATAAATTAATTAATGTAGGGTTGGAAAGTGAGTCCTTAGTGGAAAAAAGTTCCCTTCTGTTTTAGCATAAAAGCTAGATAGGAAGCTTTGTTGTTTTTCCAGACTTAAATGGGTATTTGAGACATGACAGTTCTACAGTGAATCCTGGCATGATGACTGTTGACATGGTTATTTATATTAAAGTTAGATTAGTATGTGCCCCTGAATACAAAGGAATGGTTGCTGCTTGGATTAAGCTGTTACCATTGGAGCCTTTCCTTTAGTCCACAGTCTCCCTCTGTGTTTCTCCCTTGAAGAGGCTGATGGAACAGGCCATGGACAAGATGAATTTTCTTGGCAAACTGGAAAGCTTCAGCCTAAAGGTTGGATGCCCTTGTTTTATAAAGTTGATCTTTCCATATAACATGCATTAAGAAACAAATGCAGCTTGAAGCTTACTGTTTTGGTGGTTTTCTAGGAATTTTAATCCACTTTTACTGGATAGCTGTGCTACTGGTCAGAGTTAGTTTTATGATGAGTCAGGGAGAAGAAAAGGATAAGGAGAGAAACTGGACCTTTTGAAAGAGCAGTGGCTCCAGGCCATCATTTGCAAATTTTTCCTATTTGTTTTTTTCACAAGGTTTACCAGATCTGCTCAATCTAAACAGCGTATTTTGTTATGAAGGACAAGTCGCTTGCAGGCAAAATTTCCTATTTAGTATTTTAGACGTTTGAATGTTTAACTCCAAACCTGGAGGAGGAATGTTAGCTTCTCTGCCTGTTCCTTCCAGCCATTGGTTATGTTCAGTTGTGGCCAACCTCTTGAGCATCTTGGTTGCATCATTTACAATAGATTTGTTTTTAACTGCAGATGTCATGACTTCTTTATACTTGTTGCATATCATCTTCCATTTTTCTGTTTCCAAGCAATGTGGACAATTTTGTAGCAGAATGGAGTGTGTTGGATCACAGTTTGAACAAACATTTATGTGTCCTTTCTAAATGGTCCATTTGTGTCCATTTTGTGGCCTCTGTGGGTTACCATAATAAATGTGAATAATAAAGGAGTAAGGAGGTGGCATTAGTCCTTTACTGTTTTTGGGTAGTTTGAAAGCATGACTTCTACAGCAGAACAGTTTCAATTGTTTCTTCTGGTCATGTTTTGTCATTCCCTTCAATTAAGATACACCTTAGGAAGCTTTTATGTTTGAGTTTTGAATGTAATTATTGCTCTGTAATTAAAATGGATGTAATTACAGTCAGCTTTTGATATCTGTGGGTGATTTATCTAAGCTGTGAGCAGCAAGACTCTCTGTCTCCTCTACCAGAGTCACAGCTTTACAGGAGTTCCTACTGGGAATGCCATCAAACCTAACCAGTAAGCAGTCAGCTCCGTAGATTTCCCATGCATGTGTGCAGGTTGAACAGTAAGTGCCTGCTCATGTTGATCATAAAACTGCACTTTTTTTGTATATTGCTCTGTGATTACCTTGGAGTACAGTGTCATACACAGGTTACATGAACCGCTGGCTTTGTGATCCCTGAATAAAATCGTGACACAGTGATGTTACACCCATTGTTCACCAAACAGTTTTTATTTAGAATAGACTGTAGTCCACAAAGGCAGACAATATGATTTGGTAACGAGATGTAGATTCTTTCAGTAGTCCAAATGTGGATAAGTTCAATATTAAAGTTGTTTACTGTGTGAGGATTAAGTAATCATGAGTTTGAGATGAATTCAGCATTATCTAATCCATTTTGCAGTGTACAAAAAGTTTGCATCAGAATGTACAGGAGCTGATTTTGTGTAAGCTGCCATCCTTCTCATGAATTTTCCAGGTCCCTGTAGAGAAGCATAGACTAGAACTTGTGATATCCATTAAGGATTCAGAGAGAGAGGAAATTAAGACTGCATATTTCTGTAATGCTCGGATGCAGATCATATTGCTTCTGTCAGTGCTTGTCAGCAAGTCTAGAGTGCATAAATGCAAGCTGCTGTTATGCAGAATGTGAAAATGGCATTAGAGAAATGGTAGTAGATAACCAGGAAAGAGCTTAGTACTAAATAATTAAATTTGCATTGATCTAAACTATTTTATGTACAAACAAAGAAATATCACTAAAAACATTTAAAACTATCCACGTAAAGTGTCTCTCTTTAAAACTTATTTAGTCCATCTCATCATAATTCATCATCTTTCGTCATGAAGTCCTTATATAATAAAGGTACCTAAATGTTAATCACGTCCATCGATGTTATCCTTCTTGTAGTCTCACTAATACAAATAAGTAACTCTGACTTCATCAAGTCATGTGATACCTGCCCATACTGTTTGCCCATGGTAAGAAAAAGGTTGGTTGTTAAAAAAAAAAATTGTGTTTCTATTTTTTTTTCAAACTATATCATGGTGTTTTGTTTCAAAAATTGTTTCCTTTGTGCATACACAATTTAAAAATGGCTCAATTTAAAATTTATTTGGTCTTAAATTCTGTTAATCCTTGCATGTCATTACTGTTGGGTGCTTTGTAGGCAACAGTTTGGCAGTGCCCTTCTGAATTTATTCGTTGAACTCTTGGATTCAGAAAGGGGCATTTGATGATGTTATACAGATTCTGTGCTTGCTATGCTTGTGTTAGAAGTTAGTTTAACAATTTTATCTTTGAGATCAAGGATCAAGGAGATCAATTATTTCATTCTTCTTTCTTTAGACATACTAAAACATCTGCAACGGTGCTGAAAATGTGCTGTAGATATATAGAAAAAATCCCATCTTTTTCATCTTTATTATTAAAGAGTTCTGTGACTTTTACATAGTCCTGGTACTGTGTGTGAGAACTGGGTGTTTCCCTTTATGGTTTAATTTGACCCAGCCGTAGATACTTGCAAGCCATCCAGGATAGTATCCATGAATAAAATAAAATAATAATAACAATTAAAAAAATTTAAGTAAAAATAGCTGTTGTTTATTTTTCTCTGTGTGTGTGTGTTTAAGAACAATCAAACTTTTTTTCTCCTCTTTGTAGATACACTATAAAGAAGAGTTTAAAAAATCTAAAGGCAAGTGCATATTTGTACCTGACACCCCGCAGCTAAAACATGTGAAAAGTCTCGGTGCTTTTATTTCTGAGGTAAGATCTAAAAGGCTGAAGAATTTTCTTGGCTTCTTATTCTTCTTTAAAAGTCTCTCAGTTGGATATGGTGACTTTTAGCAGGGGAAGGACAGCTTCTTTCAAATAACAGTTCTGTTTATAGGTAAAGTGACTTAAAAGGCTGTAATTAATATATACTATGTATGTGAGTAATAATAATTTGGAATTACGTGATACTTTTATTTTGGGATTTGAAGATATTTTGTTAATGGTTCTGAGCCAGTCCTAGCTATCCTATTTTATGGGTGGATAAACCGAGGAATAGGAAAAGAATTTTTTTTTACTTGCTCTGCAATGATGAAGTTTGCAAACTTCACCTGTGCGAAGTTTCCCTGCTGTGGTGAATTCACAGCCTGATATAAAACAGGAGACAAGGGAACTGTTTCCGTGTTGTCATCCCTGTCCTTCTTCAGCAAGGGACCTGGGGCAGACATGAGGTCAATGCCATCTGCGAGTTGCCTGAGCACTTGCATGCCTCCCTGTGTCAGAGTTTTTAGGTCTTCGTGTACACAGGCACGCACACACATGCACACACACACACATACACCCACACACACACACATACACACACAACTGTCGCGGCAAAGAAAGAGTAACAGCTTCCAAAATGCCAGAGCAGCATTTACTGCCAGCTCTTCATATCCTAGGTACAAGGTGCTGTCGAATTGCATCTCTGATTATTTTCCATAGGTAAGAAGAGCAGCAGGAGTTTTACATGGCAGAGAGTTGCTTTGTTTGGGAATCACTGGTTCTGGGTGATTTTTCTGTCACTGTGACCCTTGGAAGACGTAAATTTTTGGTGCCTCGTTTTTTGTGTTACCTTTATTACTATGATAAAGAATGCTCCAGTATCTCTCTCTGAAGTTACGTAATTTATATACATTCTATAATCTCTTTCTGATATCCAAGAGTTTACTGTGTGGCTACATCCAATATAAGTGCATCTAGTGAATATTTTTGTTGTATTTATCTTTCTGTTTTCTGAGAAAGAGTGGCATTACTCCAAGGGGAGTGAATCTGATGTAATCACACTTTTTATAAGAGGCAGACTATTGTAGTCTACAAAAGTACAGTATATAGCGAATATTTATCTAATCCATCTGATTCCAAAGAAAAGCTGCTAATTATTAATCAAAGATTTAGAGATATAAAGGTATTTTACAATTTTTAAACCCCATATGTTTTATGTTACCACACTGTTGAGCACTCTATCTGCTTATTGCAGCATTACCTGAAGCCAATGATGTGATGGATGGTTTATCTTGTAAATTACTGACCTCTAGTGTCCCATAACCTGTTTTTGCAAAACCTGGACACTGAAATTCTTAACAGCATGTCCACAACAGTGAAAAAGAGCCCTCTGGCTTGGAAAATTTATTACAGCAAATTATTTATATAGATATATACATATGGGGAATTAACCTCTAATGAAGAACTGTCTGTTGCACAGTAAATTAATGACATTGGACATTATATTTTAAAATATTTTTGGTATTTATGATCACTTTTGCAGCCGTACTTGACATTGTTTTTATGAATTTGAAAAACTTAGATACGAAGCAGAAGCCTCACAGATTTTGAACTATTATTCTGATCTCTCTCATGAAACCCTTTTGTGAGGAATTGCTAGTACTGAACACTGGAGGAAATACAGGATAAGTAGAAAGTTATTAAAAAATGAGACTGTAATATGAAAAGATTAAGTAGAAATTATGGTGGACATGCTAATTTGAATATTCCTGTCCCTTCCAGCTACATTTAATTGCTGATACTTATTAATTGGTAAAATATTTGTTGTTTGCCTCTCATTGCTCCCGTTGTGCAAAACTTGTGAAAAGAGAAAGAAAAAAGATAAGTTTTGATTTTGAAAATGATTTGAAAAAATATATAAAAAAACCTGCTATGCTACCTTATTTTATACTTCCCTCCAAATGATTGAATTTAATTAGGAGATATTTTGCATTGTTTTGTGAATTAGACACATCCACCTAAAGTATTATTTAAATATGTTTTTACTTGGAAGTTAATGACAGCATTAAATTTTTCCAGTTCTAATGGTCTATGCCATTTTACTTACTAGAAAAAATAGGTAATATGTTTACTGTGTCTTAATTTTTGCATTATATGTCACCTTTTTCTGCCCTCTAGGTGAAGTACAAAGGAGCTGCTAAAAAAGACCTTTCCAACTCTCTTTATCAGCAGATGCCAGCCACAATTGACAGTGTATTTGCAAAAGAATTAATGCAGCTTCAGAGCAAGGTACAATTTTTAGAATCGCAAAATGATTTTTAGATTAACTGTGTGTCAGAATATGTCCAATTTGAACAAAATATTTGCGCAGACACTTGATTGCTGGCTTGATTTATTTGAGTGAGTTTATCAACCACACTTTATCACCATAACTTCTTAACTTCAAGAACTACTCAGTTTTAAAATGTTGACAATCTTTTTGACATTGTTATGTTTATTAAATATACATTTAAAAGCTGCTAATGCATTCATAAATCCATTAGAAATCCATGAATGCAATAAGGAATTACTGAGTTTAGTGACATTGCACTGCGCTTATAGAATAGATGAATCTTATATAATAACTATTTCCTGTTGGGTGTTGTATTAGTTATACAAAATGTTTGATGCTGAAGGCAAAAGAATAAAATCTTTAATGACTTCTGTAGGCACTTACTGGTAGCAGTAAATGTATTTGCGATGGTCTACATACTAATACAACAAATTTTATAGAATTAAAAGTGTGGATTCAAGTATATTAAAGAGAGTGTAAAGCATGTAAACAACCAGCAAAATAGTAAATTCCACTTCAGTTGCCTTCAGGGGCTTAAAGTATAATACCCTAAATGTAAGCAGGTGACCCTTCAGTTCCATTGATCTCAGTGGAATTGCGAATGTTAAGTATGTGTAATATGAATGGAGCTAGAGATTTTCGTTGTTACTCATGAGAATTACAGCTGATAGATGGTCATTGCTTTCTGTCTGCCAAACATTTCCGCATTTTTCTTGTTTTTACTTTCTCCTCTCTTAAAGATATAGTCTAATACAATCAGCGTGTGAAGTGAACGTGCTCCTAAATCCATAATATTGACTGTATTTCAATATGCGTTCCTCTAATGCAGTGATATTTTTTCAGACAAAGGAAAATACCAAAAGAAAGGACTGAAATCTCAGGACACCTTGTAGAGAAATGTTTTGATATAAAACAGTGTTTTAATCAAGGCTATATTAAGCAAATATAATAACATATATTTTAGTTTTTGTAGTTTGAAATGGAACATATATACACTCAAGTTAAAGCAGCATAGTAGCTGAAATGACATTAATGTGACATTTCACTGAAAAGTGAGTAATTAGAGGAATTACAGTAGAAATAAATTGGGAATTAAACTTGTATAACTGTTAGCTCGTTTTATAAAACATTAGTTAACTATTTTGCCACAGATTTACTCCTGGATTCATTCCAAATTATTACATTCTACATTAGTTTACGCAAATGGGGTTAATTAACATTGGTGATGTGGCAGAAGAGATAAATAACTGAGACTAAAAGTGAAACCATTGATTCATCAAAAAAACCCTTTTAAGGAAAAGACTGACTTTTATTTGGTATTTTTTGAAGGTTTTCTTCAATCATACAACAGTCATAGAGAAACAAATAGGATGAGATACTTAAGCAGAAATTTTCCCTGTAAAATTCAGACCATTCCCTTAGGAATAGTTGCATTATAAATCATAATCTACCATAAAACTTAAAGATATGCTGACACATTTTTCCAACTTGTGGTTACAGTTGCAGTGGACCTGAATTTAATGCTACTTTGAGAGAGATCTCAGGGGATTTTCTGGTGAAAATGTTCTCCACAGTATTCAAATCTAATCCATATTGTGCCTATCACTGTGGTACCTAAGTAGCTAATACAAGGATTTCACATTCCAGCTGGGTCAGGATGTGGCAGAGAGGGTTTTTGCTGCATCTGTCTAGCTGGGTTTGGGAATTTACAGGTCATCACTTCAGGAGGAGACTACGGATATGCCATAGGAAGGAGACAGAGCAGCACCAGCTGGCCATTATGCCAGCCCTCCTGCAAAAAGGCTGCTGCAAGCACAGAACTGCAGTCTGTTTCTCATAGTAAGCTGATTTTACATAGGTGCTGATTTCCTGAGAGGTGGAAAATACGAGTACATATCCTCCTTCCCAACCACGTCAGAGCAAATTTACACCTTTGACTCCTTTTTCATGCTTCTTGGATGAAATGCTGGGCTTGAATGCTTTTGTAGCCAGATCAAGCAGGAGTTTTCTTGCTCTGTGGTGCCGTGTTCTTGGCAGGATTCATAGCCTCATCTGCCAAGCACTTGTATCTGGACTAGGGGATCATGGTGCGGAAAGAAGGAGAGCCACTGACTCTCTCTGCTGCTGCCTGCTGGCACAGGCTGGCATACCTCTTCTGGGGGATCTCCTTACACAGGTGTGCCCTCGGCAAATGGTCTCTCCCATGATTTGATGTTTGCTCCTGGAATGGTGTTGCTGTACTGCTGCTGCCCAGCAGCTCTGTCTTCAGCCTACCTAGATCTAACCCAATTTAGTAATTTGATACACTATTTCAAATCACACTCATCATTTAGGAAGTTGGGGGCAACTAGGGGAAATTTCCCATTTTTCACAAGAAGTCATTCCTCACGTACACTGTCCTCTCCAGAGCAAACAGACTGCCATTGACCACGTTTGCACGCTTTAACTCATATGGCAATTGTCACTAACTTCAGCAGAGCCAGGACCTCATTCTGTAGGGTTGCAGCCATGCAAGGTCAGCACTGTTATATGGATCTTGCCACAATGGAGAGTACAGTGCCCTGACATATGTGGTTCTCTTCCAGTGGAGCTTTTCTCCCATATTGACTGGATTGATAGATGCTCAATTCCCCTCAAGATACTCAGGAAAGCTGAAAACAAGACCATTTCTGTTGGCTTTTTCATGAAACCCACATTTGTTCTTTTGTGTTTTATGTAGAACTGGCACGGAGATGTAAATAAATACCCATAGAGAAGGACATCTATCTAAAACTGTGACCAAAAAATCACGACACTCTTTACGGGAAAAATTTTTTCAGGAGAATGAAAAAGAAGTTTCATAGCCCCACATACTTGGGTGGCTTTTCTCAATTTCATTTTTTTCCTCTACACAGGAAATTTGACTGTTGACTTCTAAGTAGCTTTCTTGAGGGTGAGCAACCAGATTTTGCTCCCTCTCTCACTTTTGTCACCATTGTCCCCAGGGTAAGCTAGAGAGAGAAGTCCCTGTCCTCACTGAGTAACTTCACCCTCCTTGCCAGTCTACAAAAGCTCTCACCAATTTCCCTGTTCTCTGCAACGAGAAAATGAAATTGGTGGGAGCAGTCTAGGCAGGGAGCCTTCAATGTTGATTTTCCTGAGAGGAAGTGGACATATTTTTGAAAAATTGCAGTTTTCCTGTGGAAAATATTTCTTAAGGAAAACTTCTGATCATTGCTAGCTCTGTGCCAAGTCTTTTTCTTGTCTGAAGATCAGACAAGATTCAGTATACTGAATACTTCCTTACGTAGAACGATTTTTTTTAATAAGGTGTCACAAACAATGATAAAGGTATTTAAAATTGCTTGAAGGGAAAACAATGTTGGAAAAAAGTAAGTGTTTCATCACTTTTTTCATCACTTTATTTCTGCCATAAGAAGTGATTGCACTGTTTTTCCTCTTATCTGAAAGGAATAATCTAAAGCAAACTGAAGGCAGTTTAATTTTCTCCTTTGCACAGGGCAATACCTCAAAGAGTAACTATATGTCGATGCTTAACGGTATGTTCTGTTTGGTTTTAAAGATGATGAGCCAAGTGAATCTTAAGCAATATTTTCAACTTCCAGATAAAGTTTCAGAGGGTTTTTTTAACTACAGTAAAAATTTTGTGATTTACTGCATCACTTACAATCATATTACACATTATCAGACTGTTTTATGTAATTATTTAATTTTTTTTTATGGTATGAAATGTCACGTTCAAGATTTCCTCTGTTTTATGGTGGCAGGTATTAGTCTGCTAGACTTCTATACTTTTGTTTTACATGAATACACTAGGTAATCTAATTCTCTGTGTAGAGATTAAAATGACATTTTCTGTGTTCTTGAACATTTCCTCCTACAAAATCCTACTTTGTGGATTTTAAGTTCAGAGCTCAGCTTACTGACTATAAAGGGAAATATATAAAAAAAAATGTAATAGTGTTTAAAGTATGACAAAACAGAGGGTCAGAGCTAGGTTAAAAGAGCACAAAGCCTTCCTTAATGCAGCTTCCTATTGACACACTGGTGTACAAGAGAGATAAGAAAAATAAAAAATGAGTACTTACAAATTAGTTCAATCTGAAGTCATACCTACTTAAATAATTGCCTTGCATTTCTCAAGTTAATAAATGGTGCCACTAAAGGGTAGAGGTTATGTCAGTGACCTGTAATGCTTGATCTCTCTCTGGAGTAGTTTCTTATGCAGATTTGATAAAGGAAATTCAGTTTAGCTAAAACTTGAAAATTAACATGAGTTGAGAAATAAATATATGCATGCTAACCTGTAAAATAATGGTTCTAAGAGTATTGTTGAAATAATAATAATTATTCTTTCATGCTTCCTTGAAACTGATTTACAAATCTAGGAATAATTTTGCACTAAAATGTCCAAAACTAAACTAGACACCCTTTGAACTCCTCCTAGCTTGTGTCTGCTTCTAGATTACTTCAGTGAGTTAATCAGAATAATGTGAAATGATAGGAAGAACACAGATGCCAAATAGCAAGTGAAATATTACTGCCTTAATAAAGAAATGGTCATCTTTTCCCAAGATAGTGAATACTGAATTGTAATTTCTGTTAATTTTCTCATGATGGGAGTTGATGTGCTGTTGTGTTTTGATGTCTTGGTTATGTAGCCCACTTGTCAAGAGAAAAATAGAGATGTTGAACCAGCAAATATTTGTAAATTAGTAGATTTTGGAAGTAACTGTATGGGGCTGCTTTTCAGAATCGTGTTAATTGGGGGGGAACATCTTAAAAGTGACAGTGTAAGCAAGGAAAAGTTGCAGAAGAGTTTTTGTGTCATATGTTTGTATAGTAATTACACTTTTGCAGGGAATCATTTGTTAGTGATGCTTCAGTCTTGTTGAAGGTTATGTGCTTTTCCATTTGCCAGACGTAGGCAAGTTATGAACTCTTTTTGTTTCAATTTAAGTTGTGTTTGTTTCCCCAGAGGCCTGATCATGTTACACTGTATAAGGAGGTGGCACATTTTAAGTTTCCTGATTTGATAATTTCATTCACATAGTAGCAGTGGAAAAATACCCCCTCCCCCTCCTTTTTGTCTTAATCTCTCAGCCCATATATTATTTTGTAATCTGAGATAGTCAGGGCAGATACTAACATATTGCCTTGGGCACCCTACTCTGTGACTCAGACGAAATTGTGCTGCTTTAAACAGAAACAGATACAGCCTTTTCTCACAGTTCTATTACCCTGTCCTAAGAGCCTGAATCACTGTAGTTGAGAGTTCTCTCAAAACTTTCACAGTATTCTTTTATTGCTCTCAAGGGTTTTAGTTTCAATACTTCTTCTTCTGATCATCTATCAATCTTATTTAGTATTTGCTGTTTCCTTGGGGGTTATTTTAGTGCTTGTTCATAAGAGCTGTTAGAAAATGAATTTTCTTGATGCTTGCTGCTTTTTAGGCATCAAAACCTGGTGAATTTTCTTAATATAAGCCTAAAAGCTTCTGACAAGGATAAGTGCAAGATCAGCTTTTCAGGCAGTTCTGGTATATGTGTATATGTAAGTATAGCACAGTACAGTGAAAGCTGGATAAATGCTCAATGTTGAGCTGCATTTCTATTATAAAAATAAATGTGTTTATAAACTCACAATTCTATTACATTTTCCTTTACCAAGATGTGAATTGAATGTAAATATTATTCTTCTTTGTGAACTTGGGGGCTAGTCAAAATGCATATTATGCTAGTAGTTTCTTAGCAGCAGGAGAAAGAGAAGTTTGGGCTATGAGTATTTAATGTAAAACTGTTTGTTTATGAAAAATGCAAAACCTTTTTTCCCCCTGAAAATGGTGTCTTTGGAGCAAATAAAAAGCTTTTGCTTACCCTTTTCCCTGGTCTGTCTTCTCACCTTTTTAAGCTTAATTTTCTGTTTCTGTATATTGCTTTTTCTTCCCCCTGTCTACTCATGCCTCTGTTGCAGTAACAGTTGCAGAGAAATCTCTCTACTGACTCTACCTTATATGTCTCTGTTTTGGGTAGAAGCTGCTCTCATTTCAAGGTTTTGGTTCCATTAAGGAGTTAAATTATTTATTATTTATTATTCCTCAATACAGGCACACTATGATACTGGGTTTAACCCAGCTCATGTTATTATACCTGCTCTGCTCAGGTCGCAAAAGTATACTATTGCTTCTTTCAGGTTCTCTATAAACAAAAACATGATGCTGAGAAAGGAACTTCAGATTACGCACGAATGAAGGAGCCTCCAGATGTTAAGCATGCCATGGAAGTCAGTAAACACCAGAGTGATGTAAGTACTCCCCCATCTGAAATGAGTGTGCTTGTTTTTCGGTAGATACATCTGCTACAGCTAACTGAAATGAATTGGGCATGGAATATTTTCATATTTTATTAGTTGGTATTTTTTATACATTACTTGCTCTGAAGTTATTTGGGACATGATGTATGTATAAAATATGCTATGAGTTAACAGTATGTGACTTTTATCCTGAATTGCAGTGAAAAGTGGTTGTTACTCTTTATCAGGTATTTTATCAGTTTTCATTTTTTTTTAACTGTTATTAAGTGCTATCACTTTGAAATAAAATTGCAAACAGGTTTTCTGAATTCGCTTGTAGCTACTTGTACTTTGAAAGTATATAAAGCTCCTCATTTACATGAACAGCAGTGTTATTTCAGTGTCAATACTTGGATAGTCTTTCAGGGGTGCTGTACAGAGGAGAGAATGGGGCTATTTCTACTCTGCTCTTGCACACTTTTATGCATATGAATAACTTTGTTCCTATCTCATAAATACATATCAAGTAAGTTTCAAAGAATTTAATAGAATAATTTATGATTTATTTTGCAAAATCTGAGGCATAGAGTTCAGTTTGATGCCTGGCACTGGTTTATACCATTTGACCAAGTATTTGTTCTTGTAGTATTATTTAGATAATTTACAAATAATTTACAAATAATTAGGAGTGCTTAGCAATATTTTGAAAGTTGGTTGCTTTTTTTGTTTTTCAGCTGCTTGTTATCTTCTTTAAGTTTTGTAGGTTTTCACAGTATAAAAGCCTAATAATAGTATTTACATTTTATATTAGAATCAAGTCAGGTTTGATTTCATGGTTAAGCTACCTTATAGTAGCTCAATGCTTGGGGCAGAAATGCTACTCAGATTAGTGTCTTAAATGATACAGACACAACTTTGAAGAAAAACGTATGTTAGTTTTAGGTTTTGTAAAAGCTTACTTATAAGAAAAGTAAGTTTTAGGAGAAGATTGGTTAAAATAGTTAGGTCGTTTTAAAGGGTACACAAAGCTATTAAGAACAGCTGATGTGTAATTACCTTTAAAGTTATGATCCATTTCCATTCTTGTTAGGTAAGTCAAGTAGACATCATTTTACAACTCTTTTTTCCTAGATAAATGAGATATTTTTTTGCTCCTAATAGTATAGAAAATGAAGCTTGGGTGTTCATTTTGAATTATCTTAAATTTACCCTATCTTGCCTACTGACAGTGTAACAAGCACTCTTAGGTTATGTAGGCTGAAAACTAAATGTCAATATTAGATATCTGTGTGTGCAGAATCTTGACAGCTGGCTGCTGATTAAAAGGCTACTGGAAAAACTTCAGGGAAGCATTACCTTTGAAGAATAACTTTTTCTTCTGCTGGGAAATACTTACATTGGAACTCCCAGCAGTAATTTGCGACCTGCCTTGATTACAGAATTCCCTCTTCCTGTCAAACTCTGTCCATCTCTGCCGTTGGAAGCATCAGGATGTCACACTGACAGAGCGTAGGAGCTGGAAACATGAATGTCTCTCCCCATAAACCAGAGGAGTTTTTTTTACCTAACAGTAGAACTGATGGTGGACTACTAGGGAAGAAAATAATGTTGGAAAGAGAGATGGGAATCCCCCTCAGAGAAAGTGGTGGGACCAGGAGGAATATGAGATGAGTTTCTGTATCGAATTCATCATAGTGCAAACCCTATTCCCCTTCTACAGCTGTACATCACCTGCTAACAGAATTAAGGAGAGCAGGGTACCGATGTGAGGATAAATGGAATTCAGTTGTTTCATCTTCTTTCACTCTTAGAGCAAGCAAAGAAAAAAAAGGAAATGAAGGCAAATGTAGGAGGGAAGGATATTTTGGTAATTGAGAACTTTTAACTGCATGTTAAAAATAATGAAAAATTATAAAGGAAATTATTTTCAGCCTGAGCAAACTTCAAAAAAATCAAACAAACCATCCATATCCAACATAAAACTCTAACCAGTTAATTTAATTGTTTAAGAACAAATTCTTTCTGGTTGCTTTTGAATAGCTGCAGTGCAATGGGCGTATATCTTTATCACACATAAAAAAGAAAGTTACATAAATCCAGTTACTGTTCAGGAAAGTTACACAGCTCCTGTTGACTTCATGAATAGATGTGGATTCCTTGTTTTGTAAGTAGAGGTTTAATTAAGAACTGTGTGAGTTTTCATCTTTGAGTCATGGGATAGTGAGCATCCCAAATGTGGAGCATTTGTCTTTCCAAACTATTTGAGGCTGTATGTTTAATCACAGCTTTGGAAGTACAGGGAAAAAGAAGGGAAACTATAGAAGGGCTAGAAGGACAAAGCTCTTTTATCCACCAGTCAGTACAGTTTACCTGTGGTGCTCCCATATGCATGTTTACCTACAATGCTCTTCCAACTCAATTCAACCTTTACATGGAGGGTTTGTATCTAATAGGCTTAGGATGTGTTTAAGGCTATTTACTCAGCCTTAAAATAAGGCTGACATTCATACTCAACTCTGTGAAATGTGTAATTTCCTTTAAAAATTAAAACTATATTCACCTTACAAAACAACTGTGCTGACATTCTGAAATTGTCTTGCACTATAGGTTTTCACATAACTTTGAATATCATTAATATGCTTATCTGTAAGTGTGGGCAGAAGCTGTGTACCAGGGAAATACTGTAAAATCTCCTGAACAATGTGATCATGTATAAGAAAATAATTTTTCTCTTTTTCATATTAGACTGAAGAAAATTGCTCTTGAACAAAAGTGACTTTTTTAATGATTGGAAATATACTTGAAAAAGAAATAAAATACTACAGAATGCTTGGACAAAAGCATGTTTGTCCAAACCAGAGTACTTTTCTCTATAAATTATGTTTGTGTTTTGTGAAGTGAATGTTAATGATGTGACTTTGGCACACAAAGTCATTTGCAAAACAATGAAGTAGGGACCATCAACCTACTGATGTCTGTGCTTGGCTGATGTCATTTAACTCATCTGGAAGTTTCCAAACTTGGGACCAAAACTAGGGGGTGGCTCTTAAAAATCATCAGGTGACAAAATACTGTTTTGCTTTGTGTGTAGCTGAGGATCATGTGGACAGAAGAAATGTAATTGGACAGTGAAATGACACAACAACTAAGTTTCTAAAGCAAAGAAACCACTTGCCACATTGTACCTACATGGAAGCTGCATGTAGCATTTGATGAAGGTACTCAAAGCTGTGGATCACGGTTTTGTGTGTTCCATGCCCTGGTCCATCACTGGGCATTATGAATAAGAAAACACTGTTAAATATTTGTACAGCAATGTAAACATTCTACTTGCTTAAAATTACTGATTCTTCTCACAGCATTACATGGTATGAAATAAGGAAGGGGTTCTGATTTTACAAAGAAGAAAACTGCAATAGACTCATATGTGGACATTTAAAAGGCAGTTTGCATATCTGAGGTTGGAGCCCTGGTGTCTTTTCTCTTTTGACTTTTAAAATGTTAGTTGACAGTTGGGCAAACTTTTGATGTATATGTATACACTTTCCACTCCACATAATGCCAGTAAGAATAATTTATAAGTTTCGCTCACCATCTAAATTTGAAGATGTAAGAACTCTGTATTGTCCTAGGAGAAAGGTTTTTTACATGTACAGGATATTGTGCAGTCACAATCTTCACACAAAAAAAAGTACGTTCTTTCTGATTAAACCAAATCAGCAGATCTTAAACCTGATGCACTTAAACACCATCAGTAACATATTTGAATGTTGATGTTTGTTTTGATGCAGACCATGTTAAAGTCAAGCTTCTCCTGGCTCTCTGTTCAGCATCTGCATTAGAAAAATCACCTTTGACTGACTAACTTTCTGCTGACAGTGGTTGTCAACAGTGGGTCCCCCTGGACCACTTCCAACTGGTGCTGAAAATGATGTTTACTCCTGATGTAATTGGGACCAATCAATTTTCAAGCCCATTACTGGAAAGGATGACTGCATCAATCTGTAATGGGCCAGAAATGTGTTTGTCTCTTCTACTCAAGCCGGAAAACAGTTTTCAGCATCCTTTGAGTGGGAATCAGAAAAGCTGTTGCCAATGATGATTGTCACCAGCTAGTTATTTTCTTAGTGTTGATGGACCCCAAAGTGCAGATGAGAGAACAGGGGGCAGAGACACAGCTGACAGGCTATTAGTTAGTGGACTTACAGCTCTTAGAAAATACTAAGCAGGGACAAACAGTAAGAGACAAATTCTCATGCAGATAGGTGTGCCCAGCTTCTTGTTGACTTCTGTGCATGCATCTTAAGAGGACAAAATGTGTTCATAGCTGCTTGTGCATATTTTAATAATTTATTACCTATAGCTTGGAATAGTTTTAATATCGGAAAAGGTGAGAAGATAAAAGATTGAAGGAAAGTTCTGAATCTCTTAAATCCAGGTTTGCTTGGCTCACCATGTAGAAGTTTCTCTTTGTTGACTGACAACCTGAGGTGTTTTACAGCATTTTAAGAAATCTGCTTACTTTATAGCATGTTGGGCATTCCAATGGCACCGTCATGAAAGGTGAAGCATGTTTGAGACCCTCAGCTGGAGTAAATAGATCATCATGTTTATCCTCAGTGGACCTTGTGCCTTTTTATAAGAGCTGCATGGTTGGCCCTAATAAAATCAGTCTAATTATGAGCAGGCCCTCAATATTTTCCATGCTTTGCAAAAGCTAGTCACAATTCAGAGTATGTAATCACATTTGGTATTAAAGATGAGAAATGTCTTTTGTTCTGATTATAATTTTTTAAAAATATTCAACTATGTAACCACTTTTTATTGTGAAATTGGGGTAGAAACCCACTTTAAATTTAGTTGGTATTTGTAATTGACTGTTTTCAACTTCAAAACTCAAGATGGTATTTTTTTTTTCTCTTTTAGTCCCTGCTTCTTTCTCACTTGCATTTCCAACTGGTCTGATGTTGACGTCTCTATTGACGTCTTCCACTTCTGCTCTAAAGTTGTTGGTGTCTCAGTTATTTTTTACTATGCAAAGGCCAGTTGGAGCAGATTTTTTGTAAACCTGTGGTCCTCATGAAAAGGAGCAATTCTTGAGCCTTTGGCAATGTTTTTTGGTAGGGCCTGAGCAACACCTTGAAGTGAATATTGAATAAGGGCATCGTGTAATGCCTGGAAATTCCAGTCAGGGTATGAGCCTCTTGGTAAGGAGCTGAACTAACTCAGGAGAAAAGATGACTCCTTTCCTGGGTGCTTCTGCTGTTACCTTTCTTTTGTTGCTTCTCCCCTCTTGTAGTCTTCTTCACTTTCCGTCTTCTTGATGCCGATGGGTACACACACCAAGCTGGTTGCTTTACCCTACCTATATCTGTTCTCCTGCTCTCTCAGAATAGCTCTGGTTTTACTGTTCTAACATAGCACTATTAAAAAAAAAAATCACTAGATGGAACAGAATAGCAGCTGTGTAATAGAGGCCAGCACAGTGTCCCAATGGGAAAGGGTCAGCATCCAGGGATTGAGGTTATTCAGGAAATGGGAAACATATTTTTTCTTTCTTTGGCCTACCTCTGACAAACTACTGTTCTGCTGCATAACATTTTTATTCTCACCGGAGTATGACAAGCTGCAGAATGGAGCAAATATATATTGCAGACATTTGTAAAATGCTAGATGACTTTCTCTCCGACATAAGTAATAGGTATACTGGTTTAGGTGCAGGAAGAATAATAATTCACTCAGGGAAAGGTATAGCAATTGGCCTTGCATCTAATATAATTGGAAATGGTGAAATATAAAGGACTGTTACTGTCTTATTTCTCCCCCCCTTTTTTCCTGAAATTAACCACAATCCATTATTTCATGTACTATATGATCATGTCATTTGGGAGCAATAAGTGACCACATTTCCTCAACTTTATCACCACTGTTCTTGATTCTCTGATGTTAAATTCACTATATTCCTAATTTCTATTTTGAGCACATATTCTGGCCTTTAATTTGCAATTTACATGGATGATAGGGTGCTATTCAGAAACCTGTTTCTGCTGCCATTGTGGTTTTCACCTCACTTCATGTGGTCATTAGGATGAACAGCATATAATTAACTAAATTCGTGTAAAGTCCTGAATTGAAAATGCTTTTCTGGACATCTAGTTTCTTAAAAATATCTAAACATAACCAAAATAAATTTTCCAGTGGTTTAAACCAGCTTTGAAAATCAACTTCTGTTTTCTAGGTATGTGATACTTTGGGCTGTATTCATCCAACCTATTTGTTTGTTTAATTTATCAGTGATTACACTTGTGTGTCACTCATGGCAGATTAAAAATTATAAGATCTATTTGTGGGCAAGCAGCCAACAGTGAAGCCTGTTTAGCTTGTCTACTTAGCTGAAGCCATATGGACGCAAAATTACTTTCCTGTTGCATGTAAAATATTTGCCAAAAAGAGAGGTTTTTTCTTTTCTTTTTGCAATAACATTTCTACAAATTATATTTGTTGCTGACTGCTGCAGCTTATGAGTTTGTTGCATTGTACCCAGAATGAAACTTTACATTGAAAATAGGACTGGAGGTTATGATGAGAAGCTTCAAGCTGAGAACTTTCTTGCTGGTGAAATACTATCTTGAGAGGTTGATAAACTTTGTGAAGCAACAGAAGAAAACCTTAAAGATTTTCTAGTAAAACAGGAATTATTCTGATACGTTCTATTTCCTGGAAACTTTATTTTATGTTCTCTAACTTTTTTCTGAAACTTCAGTTAGTCAGACACTTTGAATACCAGGAATGATTTTCCTAATAAATCAGAATAATTAAATTAAGATAGCCCTTGGAAATTGACTTAGATTGGCACATGTGCTACAACAAGGAAAAAGTTCTCAAGCCCTGAAGAGGGAAAAGAAGAATAATTTAAGAGCTCTGTAATGTCCCTGAGGACTATGTTGTTCCTGCGATTGCTTTGCTAAATGGAGAATGTTTGGACTCTTCTACCTGTAGTTTAGCCTGCTGGCCAAAGTTTTCTGAGCCCATTCATTATAATAGTTGCTTTTGCACAAACAGAGATTCAGTCTTGTCAACATGCTGGAACACTCATCCTTCTTGTTCCCATTATTGTGTAAAGGAGCAGATAAGTGGTGTTGTGGGGATGCTGAGGTAGAGTTGTATCATTGAATTACATACAAGCTACATAGCTGTCTAGTATAGAGAAAGACATTCACTGTGGAAGAATTACAGTTTCTGTTCAGTGGAGCTGCAATCTGCTAGGCTGCAGTGCTCAGTAACGGGGGGGGTTAGTTTATATTAGAAAAGAGTACAACATAGGAAAAAAAAGCTGTACTCTTAAAAGTCCTCTGAAATTTAATGATAAAACCTAATATTTCAGTCTTTTCTACCATGCTTCTAGTCAAAACCATTTTTGGTTTTCATATTGTATTTTATGCGTCTGAATTTCTTCCTTACCCTGGTAACCTGTCTGTGGGTCTTACAATATAATCCCTGTCAAGCAGAACTATGTTGGAATAAATTAGAAAGAGTTCTATTGAATTTGATGGCTGAGTTGATAGGTCATTCAAAGCTTATTTATAAACTTCAAATATGTTTGTTTATTTTAAACAAAACTGTTTTTTGTTTGACAGGTATCCTATAAGAAGGATGTGCAAGATACTCATAGGTACACTGAAGTGCTGAACAGGCCAGACATAAAGATGGCAACTGAGATAACAAAGATAATAAGTGATGTATGTTCTCCTTTTACTCTATTTGTATGTTTTTAGACATGTAATTTTTTAAATCGAATTTCAATCAGATTTTTTTAGAATGCAGCTGAAACTCTCCAATGTCATGAGCAGAAAACCTACAACCCCAAATCTGATAGGAGATTTGATTAAAAAAAACCAAACCCCAACAAAAAAACCCCAGTGTTGCCTGATATTTTAGAAAATGAAGGATTTATCCTTTTTTGATGTTGACAGTATGATCTTAGCAATTATTGGTAATTGATCTAAAGAAAACATTAAAATTACTAAAGTTGGGTTTTTTTCACCTTTGTTCATGATAACCATTTTCAAAACAAATCGTATGATTGTATGCTATACTTCACTTCAGAAGACATAGCAAACCTTTTCTTGCCTTGGAGCAAGAGAAGCCTGCATCCCAGGACTTTACTTCCTTTTCCCATCTCAGCTGGCAGTGACAGGAAAATGTAATTCCCCTCTGTCCTTCCGAGAACTGCTTCTTGCATGGGGGCTCTAACTCCCCTCTCAAATTCTGTGACCTTGGCTAATGGACAGGTGAAGGAGCAGTTTGGAAGCAGCAGTGTGTGATGCAGTTTAATATTTTCTTGTGACAAGTCAAACAATATATATATTAAAAGCTCTGAGTCAAGCTTGTAAGTGACTGATAATAATTAGATGTGAGACCGACTAGGCACACACGGAGAGACAGTTTTAAGAGATCTGAGATTCACCTTTTACTATTCAGGACTTTTTGAAAACCAAGAGCTCTTATTACACATTATGTTCAACATGCAAATTTACTAATTGCTGTTCAATCTCTCTTTGAGTTGGAATGGCTGTGGGACTTTTATTTCTCTCAGTCTGTTGTTTTGATGTGTCCTTGCTGATTCACAGTGCCTGAGTAATACAAGAAGCCTATTTTAGGCAATGGATAATTTAGTTTGTGGTATTGCAAAGCACCTATTGTTGATTCATCTGTGCTCTTTTCTAATGCATTGTGAGAAAAAATTGCAGCAATTTGCATGGAAGGCAGTTCAGCTGGAGGTATCACATAACACCAACCTTGTGGGACTAATTCTGCTCTGCTACACCAGTGCAATCTCACTGACAACCAGCAAGATCACAGTGGTAAAACTGAGAGTGGAAGTTGACCTTACATTTCAGAAAAAGCTGCCCCTCAGCCTAGTTTTATTTCAAGACTACTTTTAGCTGCTACAAATAATCTTGTGTTAACGGTAGACCCTGTCATAAGAAATGCTGAGCCACTGTAATTCCTTCTGTCTTGTGCATTTGGTTAAAGTTGAATTTTGTGAATGTTGTGCATTGCGTTTTACAGTAGGTAAATTTTCTGTTGTTAAGAAGTTGAACCCTGAGAAGGGCTTTATTCAGAGCTGATCCGAATGGTAGGGTCAATATAGATCATTAAGTGAGACTTTTTCAACTAGCTTTAATGCTTACATTTCTCTTGATAAAACGAAACCAAACATTTTATTAGTGATTCATATTCCTTTTTCTTTTTCTTTTTTTTTTTTTTTAAGGCTGAGTACAAGAAAGGAAGGGGAGAGATGAATAAGGAGCCTGCTGTACTTGGAAGACCAGATTTTGAGCATGCCAAAGGAGTTTCAAAACTTTTAAGCCAAGTAAGATTCTCCAGCATTTTACAATGACTTCATTCAGATATCTCATTCCTAGTAATGCAAAGAAATATTTAGATTTTTAGATGATTATCTCTAATTGCCTGAGGATTATGTTCTCAAACCTTTCATATAGTATTACAAGGACTGGTAAATTTAGGATTCTTAGGAAACTAAATACACATTTTTATGCAAAAATACAATGAACTTTGACTGTTACAACTCGTCTCTTGTGGAGATGGTGTATATTTATACAGATTATCTAGGATTTCTAAAATATTAACTGTATATAATTTAGAGGCAAATTTTGCTACTCATTCAGTTTGAGTGGAACCTTACCCTGTGATTAATCCCACTGAAGTAGCTGAGGTCTTTTGTGCAATTGCTTGCTAATGTGAGTAATGGGATCTGAATTTGGCCTGACATGTAAACTACCTGCCTTCCCTCCCCCTGAAACTGAACCTTTTATGTACTACTGTTATATATTAACCCCACAAAAAAAAAAAAAAGAAAAAAAGGAAAGGACAAATTACTTTAGTCCTTAATTAAAAAGAAAGCTGAAACAGAAATATTCCCTCTTCCTCTTAGTAGTTTTCTACTCATAAGATCTACACATAAGACTCTACTACAGATCAACCTCACATTGTAAGAACAATTTTGACTGCTGACCTGTTTTTGTTTTTAATTTTTTTCCCCCCTTTTTTTTTCTGAAGTAGTTCTTTAACACTACCTTGCATAATCCTCACTAGTAATCCTGTCCAGCTACCCTTGGAGCTTTTGTAAAGCCAGGAACAAATTCTGCCCTCCTGTGAGAGGAGGATAACATTCTGTGATTGGAGAATGCTGTGTTAACCTTCCCAGAGCTACAAAAAACCCCGAAGTATAAATAGTGTATATACTAGAACAGTCTCAGCATCAGTGATGTGTAGCAAATACTTGTGATTTGGCTAGATGCTAAAAGTCTAGAACTACCATAAAGTGAGAATAAAGTGTCATAGAGGACAAGCTGCAAAACAGTGTAGTGTCTGCGGGAGGTTGATCTCCTTTTGCTATTATCCTTAGATACCTGCTGCATGGTTTCCTCTTTCACACTGGACCGTCACAAACTCACTACACAAAGAGAAAAAGAAGGAAATAAATGGTTTTTATTGCTTTGTTGATGATGTGTTCAGAATCAAAATGAGTTTGTCTTTTCCAAATAGATTTCTGTCTTCCATTTTGTAATGGATCTTGTACTCACTCCTCTGCTGATGGGCAAGTCTGCGAAGAGATTATTTTGTGTTTAGCATCGTGCAGGCTAGGAAGTCAACTAGTGCTTTCTAGAAAGAGGCAGTGCAATGCTGCTTAGTCCTGGGTGTCACTTATAGGAAAGGGAGCTGTCTCTCATTTAGCAAACACCTTTAGTGGTTTTTAAAGGGTTCATATCTAAATTTAGTGTGTAATGTCCTTTATTTCTACTCAATTGCTGCCTAAACACTCCTTTCCTTACAGCCTATTTCAGAATCTAGTGGGCTGGCAGCTGCCTGTTGTCGCAAATGGGACCAAACTGGATCCCTTTCCAATAGCCCTCTCCATCTGCCCAAGCCTAGTACCCATGAGATTGTGGCCAACAATTTCAACAAGCGAAAAATATCATCTGGATCATGGGGTCTTGCAAGCTGATGCTGAGCCAGCTGCATGGGAGGCTTCATCAATGCACGTTTTATCTCAGTATTGTTAGATGTGCTTTTTCTCTTGGACAATGCAAGCTGCATCTGCAAACACTTTATAATAGAGTCTCTTAACTGCCAGAGACTGGGATGGCAGCAGTTCTAGTTGAGATCTTTCTGCAGAAGGCAGCATTTACTGTGCAATTTGAACTTCTTTAGAGAGTTCAAATAGTGCAGAAGGTGTGGCAGGAAGGTGTGGCGGTTGACAAAATGTATCGCTTGTGGTGGTCCAAACTCTGCAGCTACTGGCCTTGGGTCCTTCCTTGTCTTGTTGTCTCCTCAGTCTACACTGTTGTGACTGGTTGCAGTGTTTGTGATGGGGAAAGGGAGGCAGTGCTGACGCTCTGCTGCCAGCCATCTGCCTGCAGCAGCATGGAGGGTGTAAATACTGGGTGGCTCTTAACAGCAGGGAGGAGCTCTCAGAAATTCCCCCACCTCCTCTGAAGGGAAGGCAGTGGCCATGAGTTGTCTAATGTTTTTATATATTATTTGAATCATTATAACACTTAGACACACTAATCATAAATCAAAAGCACAGAAAAATGAAGATGACCCCTATGTCCAAAGAGCAGGGTGGTGGGGCAGGATGAAGAATGCACCTGTGCTGGAGGAGAGGAAGAAACCTAAATATGAGTCAGTCATGTCAGTCCTCTTCACACAAGGATCGTGAAACGGGCTTGTAACAATTACAAGATTTAAAAAATAGTAAATTTAATGATCTCATTATTGTATCCAGACTTTCTGGCTTTTAGAATTTCCATTTATTTCTCAGCAAATGGAAGGATTATAAACTTTTTGTGCTAAAGTAGATAATCTCCCCTAATGGCATGAATCTATAAGCTGCGACATGCAGAGAAATATTAGTTATTTGACCCTCACAGTAAATTTGCAAAGTTGGCAATTTTGATGGATGTAATGGGAAGAGAAGATGATAACATGTTTTAATGTGGTGCATATGGGTAGGTAATTTAGGGAGTATAGAGAACAGGAGCAAGAAGAGGTCAGGCAGTGTGGGTGTAACTAAGGGAGAAAGCAATCAAGGCAAGCAGGAAAGCAAACAAAGCAAAGAAAATAGTGTTAATGTTTGACTGGCACTCAAGGCTCTACAAAAATCAGTGTTTTCTCTCTCTCTCTCCTTTTTTTCCTTTTTAATTTTTTATTTAACAAAGCTTTCGAAAACAACAGCAGCAAAAATAATAGCTCCCAGAACTAGTGTATTTACCCACAGCATGTGGTAACCCTTTTCTGTTGATTTTAGACCAAATTTAAAACAGAAATTGTGTTAGCTCTTGTGAAAACACGAAGCTTGTCAATTTGCTGAATATACATTGTATAATTTGTACTTTTTTTTTTTTATTAAAACACGCACTTGTTTATGTACTCTTTATGTCTTCTAAAGTGTTTTATTAGCTTCTTCAAAGAGCTGCTGATATGATGTATTCCCCTTATGGTGTTCAATAACGGGTTTTAGAAAGAATAATTTTGGATTTTCGTATTTGTTGCAATATCTGGCACTTATTGTTTCAGGGATAAAATTGTTAAAGGTATAATGTTTTTCAAAATGCACCTTCTCTGAGATTTTCAGTAACAACACAAAGAGCCTAGGATTTTCTTAATCTTTCTTTGCTTTAAACTCTGCTAGTGCTTTTAGCTATGAATACTTCAATTTTTCTCTTTGTTTATGTGACATTTCCTTCAATATATATGTGTTCTGACAGGTTTTTCCTTTTTTAAAGACGTTTTCATATGGTCATGAGGAAGTGCTTTAGCTGCAAGTGTCTGCTTCATCCTGGGATCCCAGTGGTTGAATGATTCAATTTTTGTAGTTTCTTTGTAAATCTGAACAGTGGGTGATGTCATCCACTTCTGAAACTGAACACTCCCTGTGTGAACAGCTTTGAACTACAGATTTGATTTAGGAATGTTGCTGCTAAGCTTCAAAAGACACTGCTCTGTCCAGCTGCAATTTTGACTTTTATAGGTTTTGTGCAAGGCTGATGAGAACTTTGTTTATCCAGGCCCTATTTAATTCCAGTTTGGTTTTTCAGGGATGTTGTTGTGTTAAAAGCCTGCAGAGTCTGCTCTTTCTTATGCAACCATTAAAGAGCAAGCTCCATGCATTTCTTTTAAATTAGCACCCACTACATAATCTCTAAAAAAATAAACAAACTTAAGACTTTAATGAAGATGGTAAATAAGTAACCATCTTTTTAAGCCCTCATTAAATTAAAGCTCTCGGTTAATGATGAAATTGGAAGATAAGTGTCCACTAACAACTGTCAATTCTACTCCCACTTGTTCGCTCTTCCACCATATTACAGCATTGCTAAGACCTTCCCCTTTCAGATGGTTTAGAAATCACATGAAGTGTTTTTCTTCATTGTTTTTATTCAGAACCCTTTCTCTTAGGTACATTTTCTCTCTTTCAACTGCGTTCATAACTTTATCCTGTTCAAAAGAAGGATAAATACCGGGTGTGTTCTTTCACCGTGACTCATCTTCTTTCTTCATCTTCTCCCACCCCACGCTTCCTTTCAAAAGGGGGAAAAAAACAAGAAAATGTTGATAAAAGAGAAAGTGGATGTCTGTCTAGCTTTCAATGAGACAAACCCCCTATGACAAGTCAGTTAAATGACTGCTGGAAGTGCTCTGGAAATGCTACTGGGGTCATCGGATATCACTGTGTATCCTCCTTTTGCTCCAGAGCGACCTGTGCCATGGTGCAGGGGAGGCAATAAGCTGAGCAGCCAGAGGAGACAGCAGGGCCTGGAGTTACCAAGACAGCCCTCACTGCACAGGAACATTTACAGTCACACTGTTTGGGGTATCCTTATATTTGGGACCCTCCTGCACTTTGGCATAAGGACACACGGCCCTGAAGGCACGGCAAACCTCCTGAAGACTGGATTCACTGGACTCCTCTTTCCTACATTTGCAGCAATGTGATCTGAAGTGACACGAAAGAGGAAACTCTAGATTGAAATGTATTGCTAAAAGAAATCTTTTAGAAGGTGGCATGAAACATCTGCTGCTGGGAGATGGCAAACTAGTTATGAGGAGAGGTCCCCTTAACACCAATGCTTTCCCATTTAACAAGAATCTCAAGGACCAAGGTATTTGGTATGTGTGTACTGTTTGTGGCCATTTGTTGGCCGGGCAGAAGGCAGCCTGCAGGAGCTGGATATTTGAAGTCTTGTGCATGATATTGTTATGAAGTGAATAAATGAGTAAAACACAAGTCAGCCGTGCTGACTTGATCCCTGGTTTCAGAGCCTTTTGAATGACATATTTCAGCACTGCCTGATTTTCATTAGAAGGCAAGTTTTGGATACACCTTTTAAAAGAGAAAAGTCCTCTGATTTATTCTTTCATTGCTTATACAGAGCATGGATTTGCCTTTGTCTTTGTATTCAGATATATGCTTTTGCACTTGATCCAAAGCCAAGGCAAATACCAAACAATATGAACCAGATGAATCTACCAGAAGGCAATAGATACTCTCTTCTAGAGCTAGTGTGAAAGATTATGAAGTTCATCATGTGTTCAGATAAAGTTTCTCTTTAAAAGTAGCAATGTTTTAGAATTTCCTTCCTTAGAAGAATTAACCTAAGTGCTGGAATCATAAAGTAGTTCTTGAACATACGCAGCTAATTTCTGTTTGGGTGGCTTAGTTTTGGTTTCTTGTTATCCTGATTAGTGAAATATTGGGCATTGTGGCTAATGATAATGAGGTCATGTAAGCTTAACCATGTTGAGGGTCTTTTGAGGCAAGGAAGAACTAAAAAGGAAAAAAAATCACTCTTCCCACAACTAAAGCTGAGAAAAAAATAATTTTTGAAGGAGATTGTTTGAGGTGGTTTAACCACTTTATTAGACATTCATGTGGGAATAGAGAAAAAAGGAGAAGGGAAAAGTCCGTGTATTTATTTAATGCAGAGCGTGGTAAATTATAATGGATGTTGCATAGGCTCAGATATCAGGTGTCTGACTAACATTCATGAAAGCAGCATAATTCAGACTGAACTTTATTCTCCTCCGTTATGCCCAGCTGTCGGAAAGAAGCAAACATGTGTGCATAGTCTCCAGATGTTTGATGGTCACGCACAAAGGGGGCAAAGGAGGGAGATACACTATTTGTTCAATTTTATATTTTCAGATTCTGAATTCAGTTCTTCAGCATGTTTTATGGAATTTTTGTGATGGAATTGCCTTTAATGCTGTTGTCTCAATATTTATATATTGCTCATTTCCTCTTACGTGTGTTGTCATTCCCCCTTTTTCTTTTGAACAAGAAGAAAAGAGAGTGAAAGTGGTGGCAGACAGGCATTTAATTATACTTTCTAGCACTGTAATGAGGTGGGCATTGTCCCCAGGGAAAGGCTGTACTATAGAGAGATTCCTCAGCGTCTCATGGGAAATTTCTGGTGGAATCAAAAATAGACCTGGGGGCTCTGGTGACAGTCTAACACAGCATGACTGACACGTGGACCTGGTGGTGGGAAGACAGCTGAGTGGGAAGTTTGATTCTGACTTCCCACTTTCAAGTGGTTGAAAAATTCACAAGTGATTTGTTTTATAAATTTTACGATTTATTAATCTTAGAATTTTATTTTTTTTGATGTTAGATACAAATTGGATGATTCTCAGTGAGGAGATTATTACTGCTAGTCAAACAGTTCTGGTTTATTTGATTACTCAGGTGAATCATATGGTTTTAGTTCTGTTTTCTTTTTATAAATCCTTCAGCGCCAGTAATCACATATGACAATCTTAAAATTTTAGTAAAATTGGATACATAAAACTTGTTTTGAAACCAACACAAGACAGTCACAGGTGTGGCTAAACTGAGCTTTTTTAAAGATTGTTTAAAGATTTATGAATAAGGCAATTGCCTTCAATAAGTGTCTTTGTAGTCTGAATTCTCTGTGCCTTTTTTAAGTGCTATGTGTTAATATTAGACTTATTTGTTCTGGTGAAAGGTGAAATACAAAGAGCAGTTCAGTAAGGAAATGAAGAGTCACCAGTACAATCCTCTTGACAGTGCTTCCTTCAAGCAAGCAAAGATTGCATCCACCTTGGCAAGTGATGTAAGTTAATTGGCTTTGTATTTTACATGCATTTATATCCTGAATAACCTAACATTTGTTCACAAGTAGAATTTCTTTTGTCATCTTATGAGTTAGTGTGAGCTGCAGTCTCTGCTATACAATGTGTAGCAGGTACAGCATGTTATCCATTTCTTCCTCCACTTCTGACAGGACTTACAGAGTTTTTCATAGCCATTTTAGATGAGATTCATCTTGCTTAATTTTGTGTGTTCAAAGGCATGACTGCTTACTCTGAGCTAATTGTCCTGTACTTGGTCTCTTTGTTTTCAGGAAAGAAATAAACAGGTCTAGAGGGAAATTCTTCTCACCTGTTGTAGGTGCCTGTCTTTGAGGAGTGAAGGAGGTTGCATGAGCAGTTCAGATTTGGATGTCTGTCTTTGAGACTTCATTCTGCTGGTTTATCTTCTCAAAAATATTAGAAAATACAGCAGTCACTATGTTGAGCAATGGGTGTCTGCTGCTGGAGCCAGACTGGAGAAAACCTCTATATAGAGTGATAATGCTGTTGGGATGATATATTTAAAAGTGTGTCTAATGCTAAAAATGTGAGCTCTTCTTTGAGGCTGTAATGCCAGATAGTGAAGAGACAAGCCTTCATTCTGTCGTTTGCCATTTCCAAAGTGTGGGGCACCATGCAATGGGAACAGGAGAGACTGGCTCTGGGAAGGGTACAGTAGAATATGTAATTGTTTCCAAAATCTACATGTGAAATAAAAAATTAATTGAATTAATTAATATTGTAAGAAATGTGCAAATTAAATATCTTAGATTTAGAGTCTGCCTAAATTAGTGAAGAACACATTCTTCACTAAATTAGTGAAGAATACATATGTGGAGGTATTAGTTTAAAAGACTTTTCATTCAAGATAGGTAAGGTGGCTAGTTTTCTTACTGTAAAGGTGGGCATCCAGCTATGAGAAGTATGGAAAATCCTGCTGTAGGCTGATAGGAAGTTATCTTCTCCTACTTCATTAAGTGATTATTTTTGCCTTATGTCACCATATTGCTTGTATTTGCTGAAAGCAATCTGCCTTAGATAAAAGATCCAGGAGCACTTCCCTTTTACTGCTATATATACAACCTTTTAAATTAGACAGTTAGTGTAATGCCTGAAGCAGGAGAAAAAGAATAAGAATTAATAGTGTTTAAAATGAATAGACTGAAAGTATTGAGGAAGATCATCTTGATTTAAGTGGGGGGTGAGAGGGGAGGGGAGAGGAAAAAGGAAAAAAAAATTCTAGTCTGAAAAGTTGTACAAAGTGTGATTTTGTTGAAAGTGTCCTTTTTGGAGGAAAAGTTTGAGTAGTTCCCAAGTACTTACTCTGCAGAATGAATCCTATACTGATTTTTTTTTTCCCTTTCTTCCAAATAACAGTAGATGACCACCATCTAGTGGCTGGTACAGATTGCTCAGGCAAGCACTTAATGCTTTCTGTTTCTGGATGGCCACACTGTAGTACAAACCTGTGAAATATTTTGTTAATCTTTAGCTTGCATAACCTGAATTCTTTTTCCAGGTGAATTACAAGAAAGATTTGGAAAGCCTACATGATCCAGCATCTGATCTACCAAACCTGCTATATTTAAACCATGCTTTAAATATCAGCAAAACGCACAGTGATGTAAGTTGCCTTTTTAAGAATGACCTGAAAGATAAATGTAGTAAAGAATGTAGTATGTACAGTCACTGTAGGAAACAAAAATTTTTGGTACTTGCTTCATGGTCTCATATGTAGTAGACTCATATTGTGGCTAGGCTTCGCGAACGAAGATTTGGGAAGGGCTCTACCCACATTTGTTGCAAGTGCGCTGGTGGCTAAAAAGGCCAATACGAGATAGACATGTCCAACTGCAAAAGGCACAGCAGAAGGACTCCTTAGGTGGTATATTCTGCAAGACACGATTCTTTCTGCGTTGTCTTTTCTCCTCAAGAGTGATCCTGCGTGCGTTCTCAAAGGAAGCAGCAGTGTTATAGATTGTGTGTCTCCAGACCTCCCGATTGGAGGCCAGAGTAGACCAGTTATGTTGATCAATATGGCCAAGACTACAGTATTGTAATTATAATAGATGAGGGATGAAAAGCAGTTTTTTAAGAAGACATATTTCAGTTATTACAACAAACAATATACTATGGAAGAATCACACAGACTTCTGATGTTGAGTGTTTATTCTTATATGTCTGAAACCTTGTCTGTTTTTTCCTTTGTTCTAAGGTACTTCTTTCCTTGCAAATCTTGTTTTGTCTAAGATCTTGCTTTCATCTGCAAATGTCTGTAGAGAAGGGGCCATTCATGAACAGCCTCTCGAGTGCTATCTTCCCTTACAGTTTCTCTGTCTAAACCTTTTTTCTCTCCTAAATGTCTGAGGCTTCCTACACCAGGTCAGAATAGGCACATGCTGCATTCTGCCATGTGCCGAGACAAGCCCCTTGATGGGGCTGGTGGTCTGACGTATGATAGTGGTGGGGATTGAAGTAGGAAGGAAGAGCTAGGAAATCCCTGGCTTCTGTGCCATGATAAAGCTTCTCTGCCACTCCAAGAGCACCTATGCTGCATGCGTGGTGCCTGTAGGCTGGTTAACTGCATTTGTCATCTTTACTCCTGAAACCACAGAAGTCCTGCAGAACTGCTGTGGAGAGGCATGAGTGGGTAGTGTTGGGAAGGAAGATTGCTCTACAGTGGCAGGAGTTGAGCAGATTTCAAGACAGATTTGTCATCTTATCTCTAATGAGATAGAAACCTTTCCTTAAGCAGATCACGTCTTGCAAAATTTATTTCTTTCTTTTGCCCAGGAAGGGTTGATTCATAATGTCCATGTGCTAGTCTGAGGACTCTGTAATACTAAGTCTCTGATTTTTGCATTGTCCAGATGCTGGTGGGTATTTTTTCTTGCTACAAGCAGGAAGCAGAATGCTTTGCCAATCCTTAATCTCTCCACTAACTGTTTGTCTTCTGCAGAAATCCTGTTTTCTCAATCCTTCTCAGATTTGACCTCCCCATGTCATCGCTTTGATTTTAAAATGGTTACTCTTCTGCCTTTCTCCCTGCTTTTCCAATACCTTCCTTGTGTTCTCCTCCTTGTCTCTCCACAGCTCACACCAAATTTGTCTTGAAATCTGCTTCCATTGTATGAAACAGTCTTCCTGACTGTAATGTTGACTGATTTCCAATGACTGATCATATGGTCTGTTTTTTTTTCTTCTGAAACACAGAGCTGCTTGCTAATTGCCCAATTTTGCTGTTTCCCTGCAGTATACCTTTCTCCATTGAACTTTATGCTTCTCATTATCTTTTGCATAACATAGCTACACCTGCACCAATGCGACAGATTGAAACCTGTATGGTTAATTAAACTCATAAATTAATCTGGTTGATTGAATGAATGGGTTTGCTGATTGACCTAGAGGGTAGGAGTGTGTGCAAAACTTTATGAAGCACGTATACTGTAATATCAATGCAAGGCTGTTATGCAAGTCAACTTCCATGGAAATAAATTCCATCAGTTAAGAGGAAAGCTTGATAGGCATTTTGGACACAGTTAGGCTGATTTGGCAGGTTGAACTCATCCTGTTTTTATTATTTTGATAAGGAAGAGAATTCACAAGGTGGAATTTTCCCCTCATACAGTATTGTCCTGGTTTCAGTTGGGATACAGTTACTTTTCTTCCTAGTAGCTGGTATAGTGCTGTGTTTTGGATTTAAGATGAAAATAATGTTGATAACAAACACCGATTTTTGATTATTGCTGGGCAGTTCTTACCCTAAGTCAAGAACTTTTCAGCTTCTCCTGCAGCCCTGCCATTGAGGTGTCTGGGAGTGCATGAGACGCTGAGAGAGGATACAGCCAGAACAGCTGACCCACACTGGCCAAAGGGATATTGCACACCATATGGTGTCATACTCAGTGTATAAACTTGGGGGAAGCTGGCTGGGAGCTGCTGCTTGGGAACAGGCTGAGCATTGGTCAGTCAGTGATGAACAAGTTTTTTTTCATTTGCATCACTTGTTTTTTCTTGGTATTTTCTTTATCTCTCTTTCTTTTTGTTATTTTTCTTTTACTATCTATTTATTATTAGGATGATAAATTTTTATTTTATTTCAGTTATTAAACTGTTCTTATCTCAAACTATGAGTTTTCTTATTTTTACCCTTCTGATTCTCTCGCCCATCCCATTGGGCAAAGTCTGTGAGCAGCAGTGTGAGGCTTAGTTGCTGGCTGTGGTTAAACCATGGCAGGTATATATGTGGCATAAGCTATGGAGACATAAAATTTAACACTTTGATATATGTATAACAGCTAGTTTATTGCTTTTCACATTTTAAATCTGTGCTTGTTATAGAGACTTTGAGATGTTAATGAACTATAGGCTAAAAAAAGGTGAACTTAGATGTATTTCATTTTATGGAACAGGGTGAATAAATAGAACTTAAGAGACTGAATCTAGTGCTTGTAGCTTAATGTAGCAAGAGGTTATGAGATTTACCTAATTTTATTTTATAGAATTATTTTTTTAAATTTTGTTCCATTAGTTGAGGAATGGAGTAAAGGTATGAAATCAGTATCTGTAGATGGAGGTAGTTTTCATTTTTTCCACTACAGAAGTGACTTTCTTGTGTGACATTTATAATTCTTTCCACTAGGAGGCAAACCCAGACCATCATATGTGTTCCTTTGCGTGTCAAATGTAAACAATAACGTTTATTTTCTATCGAACATAAACATTTGACTTTTGGATTACCAGGACAAGCATTTTCTCTAAGAATGTACAAAAGTTGTTTTTTATCATATCCTTTCTTCATTTTGTCGATATTTTAAATTCAAATTTGTCAGAACTCCTGAGTTGGGAGGCCTAAAATGTAGTTTCTTCAATGCTCTTTCTTCCATACTTATTTTAAATGGTATTTAAATTCCAAAACCTTCTGGATTTTGTAGATGAAAACATTCTTGGATATTTTTTATTTCAGTTTGAATATAAGAAATCATTTAAGCAAAGCAAGGGCTTCTATCATTTCACCCCGGGTACCACTGAACAAATCCATCACAAAGCAAATGCGGTGCTTCAAAGTCAGGAATACACTACCACAAACACATCTTGCAAAGAGAAAAATGCAGCATTCTAATGCTGATTAAATCAGTCACAAAACTGCACGACAGATTACAGTGATGTACAGCGCATAGTCAATCAGAAGCACCCCATGAGAAGAGAGGAGATTGTTTTTGCAGGACCCAAACCTAATGCAGAAACTTGACAGGGAAAGAGAAATTCAGACATCACTATTTTTGAAGAGAAAAATAAATTAAAATGACATTACTCTTAATGAATATAATATTTTGATTTGTAGCTATTTGCTTTCTTTTAAGGCTTGTGTAGAATACTCCATCATACCGCACAATGATTGTTTGAGATAAGTAATGTGTTTGCCCGTCTTAATCAAAAGAGCGTGAATGAATAAGTTCAGAAGACTTCTCCAGGTTTCCAAACAAAGTTTATTTGCTTTGTGAGTTAGCATAAAGTTATAAGTTGATGTTTTAACCCTGTGTCCTTCATTGTGATTGTACTGCTAGCTTTAAGGTCATGGTCCCTGGTAGCTGTGAGGGGAATATGAGTGCAAGATCGGACCCCACTGAGGCATTAGTTTTCCTTCCCTTCTCCCTCCCACAGGTACAAACAAAAATGCGTTTGAGAGTGGTGCTCCTGAACCTGAAACAAAGACCTGTGGGGCCTAGCTGTGAAAAAAAATTTTGTTGTTGTTACAGTAAATGTGTTGTTTTATGGGAAACATGGCAGGGGATCCTATTAAAAAGCTGCCAACTGTTCAGACGTAGGTCATTTGGCCAAAATCATGCAATTAGTTTAAGGATTGTGATTGATGCTCCTCACTCCTGCTGTCTTCAAAGCTCACAATTGTTAGGTTTGACAATTTGAAGAAAAGGAATAAATGACTCCAGAAAACAAATTACCTTATCTAGCTGCCCTGTTTCTTCAACAGGTTAAATTTGGGAGGAGTCTTCCAACTCAAAACTTCTAAGGAGTATGGCTAAGACAGGATTTGTCTGTTGCTGAGGCAAGCAGTCAGATCTCACATTCTGCCAGCTGCTAACAGACTTTATTTTAATTTTCCTAGGTCAAGTACAAAGAGAATTATAAAAAATCTAAAGGCAGATCAATGCTGGAGTTTGTGGATACACCAATGTATCAAGTTTCAAAAGAGGCTCAAAAGATGCAAAGTGAGGTCAGTAAAAATGTGTGCCTGAAGAAGTAAAATTTAGATCAACAGAGAAGTTAGCAGACATCTTGTACTCAGGTTAAGAAAATGTATGAAGCAGAGTGTAAATTTAGGATATGGTAGAATTATACTGAGTAGTTATCTCTGCTATTCTGGTGGCCTAGTGGTTAGCGTGCAGGACTTTCACTGCTGCGACCACGGGTTCAAATCCCGGTCTCCTGGCCTGATGGAGGTCGTTAGCCCTGTGAGGCCATCCATCTATGAGAAGGACACTCTAAACAAACCTACGTCCTGAGGACCTCACTGCCATTGTCCAAGCTTGCTTGGCCCCGGCAGATGAACCTTAGGATTAAAGGGTGGGCTCAGTTCAGCGCAGGCTGTGTCTCACCTAAAAAATCCATTGCGCAGGCTGGAAAGGTAAAAGACCTTTCCCCAAATCTTCGTTCGCGAAGATGGGCCATTATAAACGCTGTAACTCAGTTCTTCCTTCAAATTTGTTTTTTTCTCAGAAGGCTATTGGTGCTAACACAAGACAGAGGTTGTCTGTACCATCATATAATTGAGAAGAAGCTCAAGAGGTCATCTAGATCAGAGATTACTAATTTTTTAACTTTTCCCTTTAATTCTGTCATTAGTGAGGGATGGTTCTCACATGTGAGTAAGTGAAGGCTCAGAACCCAGGCCAACCCCATGCCTTACCTGAAACATGCTCCTCAGCAATGGGGAAGGAGTGTTCCAGAACAGCACTGGCTGTCCTATGTCAGGCCACGCTTTTCTGACTTTTTAAAAATAACTTCAAATGATGGAGATTTTGTGACCTCCCAAGCAATCTAGTCCAGTGCTTCACCATCCATCCTGAGCAAGAGTATTTTCCTGTGTCCCCCGTGCTGCAGTTTGATTCCATTACTTTTGCTGTGTCATGGAAAACAGATGACCTCATCCTCTTGGTAGAAACTTTAATGAGTTTCAGACCATTACGCTGTGTGCCATTTGTCTTCTCTCTTCCCTACCAAGCAAACTGTTTCTTTCATAGTTCAAGTTCAATATTCTCTTTGGAAATACCACACACATATTTTTGTCTAGATTGTCTCTGTCTTGTGTAGCTAATCTAGATAATGAAATGAGTAATGAAGTTGCTTATTTGTGTGATGACTAATTTATGACATGGTTAATTTCTGGGTCTGTTTACAGTGTTCTTTCTGAAATATGCTTGGAATTGTGTATGTATGTACCACTAATTATTGGTTTTGCTTCAACAGAAAATGTATCGCAAAGATTTTGAAGAAGGGATCAAGGGAAGACCCTCACTGGATTTAGACAAGACCCCAGAGTTCTTGCATATAAAGCAAGTCACTAACCTTCTGAAAGAGGTAAAGGATTTTTTGCTGTTGTTAAGTTGTAAATGAGCAATAAGCAGCATCACTACAAGCTACTGAGTGCTGAATAGCTTAAAGTTAACTTGGTAGCTGAATACAGGTCACTTCATGAATAAGAATTGCTTCACATCAATTTGTATGAATAGTCCTGTAGTAAGCAAATTTTAAAGCTCAGCACACCTGAACCAGAAAAGCAGAGTTTTTTAGGTTGATGAAGGGGTGTAAAGGAGGACTTCTGTTGGCATCCAGATGGCAGTTTTTCCTTTTGAGTTATTATTTCACATTTATGATAGTCTGTTGTGGTTATATGGATGCCTTGAGCTGTGGGGACCCCTGGTGGCCTAGTGGTTAGCGTGCAGGACTCTCACCTCTGCGACCCAGGTTCAAATCCAGCCAGTCCCCCGGGCAGATGGAGTCCGTTAGCCCTGTGAGGCCATCCATCTATGAGAAGGTCACTCTAAACAAACCTACGTCCTGAGGACCTCACTGCCATTGTCCAAGCTTGCTTGGCCCCGGCAGATGAACCTTAGGATTAAAGGGTGGGCTCAGTTCAGCGCAGGCTGTGTCTCACCTAAAAAATCCATTGCGCAGGCTGGAAAGGTAAAAGACCTTTCCCCAAATCTTCGTTCGCGAAGACTGGCCATTATTATTATGAGCTGTGTATGGTCACTTTTAACTAAGTTAATTGAAATAATTATCTATCATGCATGTTATGGATGAAAATAAAGAAGACCAAAATTCCATAATATAGCTGTGATATTACATAATTTGCTTTAAGCACATTTTGTTAGATGGTAAAGGTTTTCTATATGCCCTCTGTTTCTTTAAGATTTGTCAAATGTTCTCAGTTGTACGTGTCACTAAAAATGAAATAATTTTTTCCATAACTGAGAATCCTTTTATCTTTAGTCTTTTTATATTGTTATTCAGAATTGGTTTCATGTTAGGTTTTGAGTATTGGTTGGTTCTGTAGATTACGGTTACTATTTGACCAAATTTAGAAGAGCTAGAACTGCTAGAAGAGAAGAGCAGAGCTGATAGATATCCTCCCTTTGAATCTGGGAGCCAACAGTACCTTGTTTGTATTTATTGTATTAAGAACTGATTTTTTTTGCCAAAACAAATAAAGATGCTAGAATTAAAAACCCTTGAACCTTGTTCCTTTCCTTGTTCTTTATACAACTTATCCCAGTCTGCTAGATTTCGTATGGAAAAAGAAAAAAATTTCTTATCAGATTTTCTTTATTATTCATCCTCTAATAAATAATTTATTCTGATAAGCCTGGCTGTCAGGTAAGCAAGTCTCAAGCTGGGTCTAGTTTGTGCAGTACCATTCTGTGGGTACATCTCATGTATACCTACTCACTAGGGAAAAATGCAAATGCTGTCATTTTGTTTAATCTGCTTGCTGAATGCTCACAGAAGTGGTTATTGCATGCATAGTTGTAATGTGCTATAAATGTTCATGTTTGAAAATTTTGATGTAGCTTCCCTCCATAGTGTTATATGCATTAAGATGTTCCCTAATTCTTACCTCTTCAAGTTTTATGACTCATTACTTAGGGAATAAACCATGCTTCTAAGCCAAAGGGGAAGAATATGAGAAAATGGGAATGGTATTTTAATGCAAAACTGCATGAATTTTGTATGGTTTTATATCCATATTCAAGGAACATATTCCGAACCCAAAGATTACACAGGTCAAATTAATTATTATCTTTCACAATTCAGCAAAATTATGTACTTCTTCATAGTCAAGGATGTAGCTCAGTATCTTTGCATTAAGGTTCATAATAAACTTTAAATAGATAATGCATGGAACAAGAAGAAGTTACTGAAAAATGAATCCGTTTATCAATTCCTTCTTTTTTTTTTTTTCCCCAAGTGTCAGGTGCATTCCAGCTTATTCTGTTGCCTTCCCACTGTAGATAATTCTGTACATATTTCCTATTTTGTGACGACATGAACTTTCTTCTTTGGAACCACATTCACAACTCCTTCAGATGAACTAAATATTTCTAAATTAATAGAAGTTGTTTCCTGCTTGTTGTAGGACATGCTTGTGATGATAAAAGAAGCTTCTTTAAAAATACCTGTTTTCCTTTTATTTAAATAAAGAGCTTATGGAGAGACAAAGGTGCTCAGTGCTGCTTATGAAATTTAACACATAATTAGGAGTATTAGTTCATATCTGTGTAAATCCTTCTGATATATATTTTCTTCAATATTCTTCTAGTTTCTTTGCTTAAAAAAGCCTAATCCTCACCTGGAGATGGAGCAATTAAAAATCCTTACAAAACTTAAAGACTTTGAACTTCAGTAGCCTTACATCAACTCTCTAGGACCTGGGAAGAGGAAAAATAACCAAATGTCTGTGAGCAGGTTCTAGTGTGCTTTGAATTTTATACTGAACATTTGAGTACTCTGGAGGCTGCGGCTGCTGAATGCTGATAGATCATATCAGTGCAGTGTCTAAAAGGCACAGGAGTGATATGGTAGGAATATTGCTTCTACATTATAATTTATCAAGCAGTTGTTTTAACAGGTCCTAGTGTGTTGTTCAGGGAATCCATCCTGATTGGGGTGCCATTATTGGAACAGAGGTAAAAACTGCAGCACAGCATATATTGATCTGCAGAAAGAAAATGCTACTGCAGTAAAAATGTCTGTCCGAAGACAATCAAGGCCCCTAAACAGTGTTCTAGTTCTGTATAGGGAGGGCTGGTTTTCAAGAGCACAACAAAATATATGATGACTTTAAAATTTTTTCACTTTTTCAGTGTTGTACCTTTCGATTTCACAATTTCCAATTCTATTTTAACTCTGAAGTCTGTACTACAGCTAATTCATATTTCATAGAAATTTCAAAGAGACCCTTCAGACATTTAATAAGTGGCATTTCTTTTCAAGATCTTGCACGCAATATTAAGTGGAGAAACCTCTTTCACTATTTTTTCTTTTTTTTTTAATCCTTAGAAAGAATATCGGAAAGATTTGGAAGAAGGGATGAAAGGAAAAGGAATGACAGTATTTGAAGATACACCAGATTTGATTAGAGTGAAAAATGCTGCTCAGATACTAAATGAGGTATGTTATGCTAGTCAAGGTTATTAATATCACAGAGGGTTCACCTTTTACATTAAACTCAATGGTGAAGATTCAATTTTTAAAAAAAATTTTACATAATCTACAATGAAATACATAAGTATTGAAATGAAGGCTGTTTCTGTTTTACTTTAAAAATATAGTAAAGCTCTGGATAAAAATGAACTCAGGACAAATATTTCGGATTTCAGATTTTCAGGCAATTAAAAGGTTAAAGGAGGTTGTTAGTGGCGTCAATAGATACAGCATTTAGAACTGTGCTGTTTAGAACAGACGTGTCTGTTTAGAACAGCCTTTCTGAATGCATGAGTTCCTCAGGGTGGTCTTCCAAAGACTGTCTCTGGGAAGCAGCAGTAGGGTCGGAGGGTGTGGGGAGGGAAGACTAAGCTCATGCTGCACTTTATGCCTTTGGGCATTTTGTATTCATTTTATACACACACACGTGTGTGTATATATATATATATGTATGTTTATTTGCACACATATATATATTTAGCCATAAAAGCCAGAGGAGATGACATGCATAGGGCCAATCTGACCACTGTAAAGAAGTGCAGGAATATATAGCTGTAACTCGCAGGATTATCTTTTCCTTGGTGTTTTACACAATATGAAGCTTGGAGGAAACATCTGCCATCCCACTGCTGCAGAGAGGAATCGAGGGATGATGTCTTCCCACAGGTTAACTTACACTTTTTCAAAAGACTATGGTTTGCAAAGTAAAGAGTTGTTTTATCGCATTTATGTCCATATCAGAATGAGACAGAGATGGAAGACTGAAAATCTTTTTTGCTCTTGTTCTTGTAAGTGATCAGACCATTGCATTGAGTAGAAAAATATTCTGCTTCTTTTTTCTAACTAATGTACAACCTAAAAAATAATTATCAAACAAGAAAAGTAAGGAAAATTTTTTAATTATATGTATTTATTTTGAAAAAAAAAAAGATTTCCACAGGCAGAGATGAACTAGAATAGAAAAAGAGTGATTACTACTGTAGTAATAGGAATAGCACTGGCTAAGAACATTTTTTAAATAAAAAAAGTGTAACTATTGTATACAATATTTCAGTATTACATTTTAATATATTTTGCTGATGAGCAAGGAATATATCCTTGCTTGTATAAGATGAAGATGAAATATTCATTTTGTTTTCAAGTTATTGGTTATTTATAATTTATGTTGTGAGGAAAAAGGAGCAATCACAGATGAGAACTGCCACTTGCCTAATGGCTATGGTTCAGGAAAGACCTATTAAATGAATAAATTACAACTTCCTGCTCTGGAAGTTCACTGGAAGCAATTCTGTATGGTATTAAATTTCTAACATGTAGTCTTTTCATAAATAAAATATTTTCTTAAAAGAAAATGTGTTTCAATTAGACTGGCATCAAGTACCAGCTTATTACACTATGTTCTGCAGAGCTAAACTCTCCCGTTACTTTAGAGGATAATTGTAGCAAGCTGTATGGACTGATTTCCTCCCACCCTCTGCCACATTAAAATTTCAGTGGTAGAGATTTGTACAGTCAGTGAATACCTTCTAAAAGTTTTCCTCCTGTAGTTTGTTATGTTTTTTTTCTGACAACAGCTTACCAAGAGTCTTGAGAGTTGTGACCCTTAATCTGAGAGTTTTGCTTGACTCTAAATCCTAAATTTCAGTCTCTTTTGCAAAAAAAAAATAATCTACCTGTAACTCTCTGGATACTGTGAATATAATGTATAAGTTTTGTCTTCACAGAGACAATACAAGAAAGACCTGGAAACTGAAATTAAAGGGAAGGGCATGGAAGTTGGTCCAGATACACCTGAGATAAGACGAGCCAAGAAAGCTTCGGAAATTGCAAGCATGGTCAGTACTGTACCTGGTCCAAGCTTTCCATTTGACAGCATGCAACAAATTATTGTCATTGAGAATTCCAGGTGGTGACCAATCTAGGCAGTACCAATACCACAGATTTCACCAAATAGCCGATCTGTTGAAATGCATGGAGTCTGAAAGTTGCATAACCAGCATGTGGGAGAAAGTTAAGACTTCCCAGAACTTTGACTTTGCCATCATCTTTTGCAGCTTGTTCTTGTTCCTCATGAGTTATGCCTGGCCTGGGGTGTGTTTGATTGCTGTGGGCTCTACTGCTTTTAGGTCTAAATAACTACTTATTTAGTTAGGGCCAAATGATAAAATGAGTTAGAGAGATGCTAAAACCTCATGACCCCAGTCTTGCAAAGCACAGCAGAGGGAGAAAATCTCATCTTACATTTGTCTGTGATTGCAGCTGCCAAAACTGGAAAGACAGATAGATGTGAAAGGCTACATCAGAGCTGAAGTGAGCAGTCCCTTAAAAGAATTTTTTAGCCTGTCAGCAGCTACAGTGTGGGTGTCACATGGATAGATTCTACAAAACTAGTACTGTTGAATCAATACTTATTTGGTGTTTTATGAATGCTGCTCAGTGGAATTGCACGGATTAAATTGGGAAAAAAATTAAGAATTTGACTGACAGATGTATTTCTAATGCTATTATTTTCAGAAAGAATACAAGAAAGACTTAGAGAATGAAATTAAAGGAAAGGGAATGGAAGTGAGCACAGATACCCTTGATATACAACGAGCCAAAAAAGCTTCTGAAATTGTCAGCCAGGTGAGTACACTATTAATCTCTTTAAGATTACTTTGGAAGTAAAACACAATGAGATGTTAAAAACATAAAATCTTCTTGAACATTCTTAGGCTAAAAGATGTAAGCAGTGCACAAAAAAATAATTAAAGAAATTGAAGAGTTTTTTTTTTAAAGTCTGACCAGTACTATCAGAATAGCTTTGAAGACAGCATGTATGGAGAATTGTAGTATTAGTTATAGGGTTTTTTCCCTTTTATTTCTTCTTCAGAAAGGATATAAAAAGGATCTAGAGACTGAAAGTATAGGAAAAGGAATGCAAATTTATCCATGTACTCCAAAAATACAGTGGGTCAAAAGGGCTTCAGAAATAGCAATCCAGGTAGACATGGTCAAAGGCTGAATGTTTTAATTCTGTGTAACGTTGAGTGCTTGACATACATTGCTCAAAATACTTCTTCTGTAGCTCTGTAGAGGCTTTCATACCTATACTAAATTAATTTACATGTAGTAAAATGTCTTAACTACCTGATTCTTATTTTTATCTAGGCCTGTTATACCATGACAATTGAATTTACTTGTTTACATCTACCTGTAGTTCTTTTTACATTACCTAATGATATGTTACATATATCCTGACAGTAAAGAGAAAATATATATATGAGGATATATAATATATGAGGATATATATATAGTATATATGTATATTATATATTTGTAGTGTGGGGGACAGTGTTGGATGTCCTGCACAGGCAATGGTAACAATATCACGGAGGAGAGAGGTTGAAATAAATACTGGACAGGGATTAGGAGGCTCATCAGCAGTAGGCATCTTTTGTTGTACTTTTGATATCCTCAGCCGCAAAAGAAAGAAATAGACATTTAAAAGTTATTTTTCAGAAAATGTACAAAGATGAAGCAGAAAAGATGCTCTGTAACTATTCTACTGTCCCTGACACTCCCGAGATGGAGAGGATAAGAAATACTCAGAAAAACATCAGTTCAGTGAGTAATAGTGCTTCTCTCTTTGCTTGTAACTTTTCAGATATTTTTCATTTTAAATAGGCTCTCTTGTACCACAGCATGAAATAAGGAACTTATGAGTAAAAGTCCTTCGAGCCATTTGCATAATTTTCCTGGCAAAAGCTGTATCACTCATTTCTTTCAGTAAAAAAAATACTCAGCTTTTCTAGGTGTGACACTATTATTTTGAGTTTCTAAACTACTTATACTACCTTGCCAAGCCACAGTTATTTTTAAATGAAGTTTTTTTTTTCTTTTTCCATCAAGCCCCAGGAAGTACTTTATTTAAAAGGGAAAAAAAATCTAAGGCTTCTTAATGTGGATATGAGATTTTTCATCTGTTTTCTATCATATGTACTGTACATCAAGATTTGGTTATAAAATTAGAACAGATTGGGTTTCATGAATATATATATCTAATGATTTTATGTTACACTGGGTATATTTTTAAATTTTATGCTAGATTTAAGTTTCAGTGTATCCCTAAATATAAATTATGAGCTTACATTTCTAAAATTGCCCAGTTTGGGATGTATTACGTTCCACTTCCTTTTTGGGCCCATTAATTCTGCTGTTTGTAATTTTGCCTTTGCTTGTAATATAACAGAGAAGAGGAGTAAATCTAGCTTCCAGAACAAAAGACCAGTTAGTGGCTGCTTTTTATGACAGACTAAGTAATACTAATAAAACCAATGATTTGAGGGAAAGGAATATAGGTTACTTAAATATTTTAGTATTATGTGACACAGATGTTGTTCTTTAAGTTAGAGATATCTGCAGCTTCTCCAAATTTCAGAAGTATGAGCTCAGTTAGTTTCTCTCAGAGCTGTTTGCCTGCAGCTATCCTGTACAGCTGTGGCATCAGCAGGGGAGTAAGAGCCTGCCAGGAAAGCAGAGAAGATAACTGTCTGAGACTTCTCTAGGTGGTGGTCACTCCTGTAATTTCTTCCTGCTCTTTTTCTTCCTTTGGATGAGGACAGCTGAAAGCTACATCTTTCACAGAATCACAGAATATGCCAAGTTGGAAGGGACCCACAAGGATCATCGAGTCCAACTCCTGGCCCTGCACAGGACCATCCCCAGGAGTCACACCATGTGCCTGAGAGCATCATCCAAACACTTCCTGAACTCTGTCAGGCTTGGTGCTCTGACCACTTCCCTGAGGAGCCTGTTCCAATACCAAACCATTCTCTGGGTGAAGAACCTCTTTCTAATATACTTCCCCTGACACAAGTTCAGGCCATTCCCTTGGGTTCTGTCACTGGTCACCACAGAGAAGAGATCAGTGCCTGCCCCTCCTCTTCCCCTCAGAAGGAAGTTGTAACTGCAATGAGGTCTCCCCTCAGTCTCCTCTTTTCCAGGCTGAACAGACCAAGTGTCCTCAGCTGATCCTCAGATGGCTTCCCCTCAAGGCCCTTCACCATCTTAATAGCCCTCCTTTGGACACTCTCTAGTAGCTTAATATCTGTCTTATATTGTGGTGCCCAAAACTGCACACGCAGTTTTCAAGGTGAGGCCGCACCAGTGCAGAGCAGAGCAGGACAATCCCCTCCCTCGACTGGCTGGCGATGCTTTGCCTGATGCCCCCCCGGACAGGGTTGGCCCTCCTGGCTGCCAGGGCACTGCTGACTCACAGTCAACTTTCTGTCTACCAGGAGCCCTGGGTCCGTTTCTGTGGACTGCTTTCTAATAGGAGCTCTTGACAGGCCCACTACCCCATTTTGTTTCTTGTGATCTGTTGCCTCCTGGTTTTGAATGGTGCTCTGCTGCATGGTGTGATGGTGATTGTCAACATGCTACACTGAAACTCCCTGTAACAGAGGGGATCTGCTTTTCTGCCTGCTCCAGCCTTTGATAGCTTTTGATGAAGTCTTCAAATAGAAGACCTTAGTGGGTCTGGCAGTGAGGACTCGCTGACAGTTAGGTACCAGGCAGGTAATAACCTTTCACTACTTAAGCCTTGACAAGCTCCTGATGCATCTGAACCCCTTGCAGCCCTCTAAGGCCAGTTTGAGCCTTCAGTGCCAAGGCTGACAATTATCCTCTTTGTTAGTGTACTAGATAATATAAAATGTTTTGTCTTCAAGGTGATTTCTATTTGCTTTATTTTGTGATTGTCCATTTTCTGTTTCTGAACTGGATCCTTCAAATGTAGGAAAGCAGTTTATAGCTGTGATTGAATTACCCTTTTTTTTTTTCTCCTTCTCTATGTCTTAATCTTCCATCATTCTGTGCAGTTTAGATTATAAAGGTAGTTTACTTTTTACTGAGTTAAGATATAGCTGGGAGCAACCTTAATATAAAAAAAAAAAATTATGACAGTAGTCTTCTGATTTTTGGATTTTGTCTCAAGTATTTTCCTGCCTTAAGGGACACAAAAAGTGACTAGCTCCGCAGGTAAGATCATTGCTGCTTTTAGCTCATTTGGCAGATGATTTACAACAGGACATTTACTTCCCAGTCATCTCTTTCATAGAAAAATTCCTGTCTCCAACATATTTTACCAATCCCTACTTGGTAGAAAAGTTCAGTCCATGACATAAATCTTTCTACCTGACATATTATTGCGGAAGAACTTTCATGTTCTTACTCATAAACTGTCTCTGTTCTCACACAGTAAAAAAAATTCTAAATTGTTGAAGTTTTTCTGAATATTTAAAAATTAGTTGTGGACATTCACTCTCCTCCAGAATATTTGGCAGTAGTATTCACCCTAGGTTACAGAGGACTTCAACAAAGTAGGAGAAATGAATCAAGAATGATGTTTTTATTGTTTAAGGTTTATAAATAGGAAAAGTTAAATAAATCTTGGTTTAAGAAAAGTAGAAATACTAAATGGCAGAGATTTATTTTATGAACTCCAGGATCAGACTTGTTTTTTACACTACCAGCCTGGAAACACTTACTGGAATGGCAACAGCTGTGACACCAAATACTGAAATTCAAGTAAAACTTCTTTAGGAGTTTTGCAGCATGAACTGGTGCTCCATGGTTATTTAAACTATAGCCACACTTGGAATCTGTGGAGGAGTTATTTACTGTCTCTTTCAGTAACTTTGAATGATTGATTTTACTGATGCAGTTTGTGTTTTATCCTTTACTGAAACAATTGAAATAAACAACATGTGTATCTGAAATATAGAGGAGAATTATATAAACAGCATGTGCATCTTTTCAGAGGGGAGCTTTGTTTTTAGATGCAGTCCTCAGCTTTCTGACTTGAACCCACAAGTCAAAAATTGTGTGACTTGGATTGTAGCTCTGGTTGTTTTGGTTATTTTGTCATGAATATGACATTTTCTAGTTTGTGAAATTAGAAATAATAGTAATATCTGTTCACTTCTTACAGTCTTTTAAGATCTGAACATTAAAAATTCCATATCAAATCTTGCATGTATATGCACATTCAATTGAAACAAATGAAATTATTAAAGTAAAAAGTTACATTTGTAAAAGTTTATAGATTATGATATAAATTTTAATATTATTTCCAAGGTTAAAACTGTTTTTACAAATACTTAAAAATGCTGAGGTCAGTCTAAGGATGAGAATATATTATCCGGGTTACAGTTGAAAACAGTGTTATCATAGTTATTGATAATTGATATGATTTATGAAAAATTAAAGTATTTGCTTTCCTAGGAAGATTTATAGTCAGACCAATTTGGAACTTGGAAAATTGCCCAACCCTTTTATGAGAACTTGTACTTGCATTGCTAACAGTCTTACAATTACTTTTTCTTTTGGGGAAATGAAGGTATTTTATAAGAAGGAAGTAGGAGCTGGCACAGCTGTAAAAGAGACTCCAGAGATTGAAAGAGTAAAGAAAAATCAACAGAATATTAGTTCGGTAAGTGCTATTAACATTAATTATTCTTATGTGAGTAAATGGTGGACAATTTTTTTTTAATCTTGTTTACTAAAAATTCTACATTTTCATATTATGCATCTGATTCCAATGAGATATATATTTTAAAGAATATAAGGTTTTGGATATAGAGCTCCATTCTAGTAGAGATAGAGCTCATCTCTACTGTAGTTGTTCAAGGTCCAAAGGTAGAGTTTCTAATTGAAGCATTATAAAAACAGGAAAAACTTTTAACAAAATATTTGAGGAAAGTGTTATGTCTTTCAAGGGTGAGAAACAGGAGATGCATCTCCTGGTATGACAGACTGAACAGCAGTTGTATTTGCAATTTAGAAAAATACTATATGACAGAAAAGAAAATCTGTAACATTCTGGTAGAGTCTGCATGTGTCGTATAGGACTTGATACAGTTTGCATGTCAAGAAGAGGAAAATTATAGCCAAACTTGAACTATGTGAAAAGGTGGAGAGTTTGTGCCTCTTTACATGCTGATGACAAGTTGATTTGTGGATGTGATGAGATTGGTTTTGAATTGATGTTGTTTATCTGTGGATGTCCCGTGTCTTTGGCACTTTAATGAGCAACTAAAAATAAAATATAAAAATGAGTTTTTTCTTCAAGTAGAACATTTTCTTCTGATAAATAAAAACTTGGAAAAAAGCAGAAAAATGACTGCCAAGCAAGAAAACCCTTTCAACTGCATTGTTCACTTGTTTGTTATATTTGGTGTGGACTCCTCTGGAGCCAGTTTTATATTTGTGACATGACTTTTCTGATGATTAGATTTTTTTTTAAGAGTAAAGTTTGAAAGTAATATATAGACGTGACAGTAAGTTGTGTTTAAATATTATTTGAAATCTAAATTAGGGCTTCTGGACACCTATTCTACTAGAATTTCCTTGATTACTGTTAAACACTGCATATCCCACCAAAGTAAGGTCAGGTAGGGAATTTCCATAAAATTTTGAAAAGCTTGTATTTTACTTGGATTTTTTCTCTGCTCCATCCATCACTTTTCATCTTATCATTGTGAGTCACAGTGGAAGCTATCATGTGTCCTAAATCCTGAAACAGCGGTTTTGGTTGGGAAGCTGTTGGTTTATGTCATTTGAGGGTGGTTTTTAAATTTTTTTTCTCTCCTTTGATTGTTTGCTTTTTGATTTCCGGTTACCACAGGCATTTATTTTGAGAGTAGTCACACACACTCACACTTATTAGGAGTGGTCTTGCTCTAATGTTTTTTCACAATACCTTTAAAAGTGAAATAAAAATAGTGTACAGTGTTCTTGCTGTTTTAGAAGTCCTAAACAGGGGTGAAGAGGGGAAAATGAAAGGTTGATCAATATGCTAGTAAACACACTTGAACAAAAACCTACCAAGAGAAACACAAAATGCATTAGTGCTGTAGTAGTCTAATGGAAGTAGTATAATGGAAGATAGACAACAGGTTAGGAAAGGCATATAGTGCCTTCGGAAAGCTTCATAAAAGAGTTTGGCTAAATAAACACTTGAAGAAAAGTACAAAGATCAGTGTTTGCAGAGCCATTGTGCTGTCTACTCTCTTATATGGATCTGAATCATGGGTCATCTACCACCACCACCTGAGTCTCCTAGAACGCTTCCATCAACACTGCCTCCATATAATCCTAAACATCCACTGGTCAGATTATGTGACTAATAGAACAAGCAGCAGTCACAAGTATTGAGGCCATGTTGCTGAGAACACAGCTGTGCTGGGCAGGGCATGTCTCCAGGATGAAGGACCACCGCCTCCCTAAAATCTTGCTCTATGGTGAACTTGCCACCGGCTGCCGCAAGAGAGGAGCCCCGAAGAGAAGATACAAGGACTCCCTGAAACAACATCTCAGCCTTGGCCATATTGACCACCATAACTGGTCTACTCTGGCCTCCAATCGGGAGGCCTGGAGACACACCATCTATAACGCTGCTGATGCTTTTGAGAAAGCACGCAGGGTCACTCTTGAGGAGAAAAGACAACGCAGAAAGAATCGAGCCTTGCAGAATATACCACCTAAGGAGTCTTTCTCCTGTGCCTTTTGCAACCGGACTTGTCTATCTCGTATTGGCCTTTTTAGCCACCAGCACGCTTGTAACAAATGTGGGTAGAGCCCTTCCCAAATCTTTGTTCGTGAAACCTAGCCATGATGATGGAAGTAGCATGACCTTTACCGTGCTAGTTCTTTGTGTAGAGTTAATGTTTTACTAAAGGTATTTTATTACATGTAGTGTACTTGAAATTACTTAAGTCTTATATAATATTTATTAAAAGTGTAGAATGCCAAATTTAAAGACAATGTGCAAGAATGTTTCAAATTATATGTCAGCAAGAGGGAAATTATATTTTGCGGTAAGAGGGAAATTATATTGTGTAATTTACAGGTGTCCCAAAGGAAGGGTAAATTACACCAATTTTGAATCCATTAGATTTAAACATTTTACGTATATCTTTGAATTTAGCCAGAGGAACTTAGGACAGCTTTACAACTATTTTCTGAGCTAAATGAAACTATAGAACGTGAAGAAAATTTGCAGTGAAAGAAACCCCAGAACACCAAACCAAAATAACACTCACTGTACAACCAACCACACAAAAAAGTCTGTTGAATCATGTTCTGAAAGTGATCAGATTTTTCCAGATTACATATATAGGAGACAAAGATCAGAATGGTCTGTTTTCAAATCCTAAAAAACAAGGTGGTGACAACCAAGGAGGTTGACCTCATCTCACCTGTTATGATGATTAGTTTGGAAGAAGCAGCCTTCTAAACAGTTGGAGTCAAGATCTCACAGAACTTTCAAAGTAAGCAGCAGACCCATGGACTGTAGCTGAATCTGAACTGAAAAGCTACAGATAACTAAGGATTTTTTAAAAATGTGTTTATATTGAGGGGCAGGGACGGCTGGACACAGCACTGGGAAGAAGGCTTTCAGGAGAAGATTCTATTTTTGTTTTTGTTTGTGTGAAATCCATGAGGAAACCCCTGTGGTATGTCAGTCAACACCACAAAGCTGGAGTCTGATTAAAACTCAAGTAATGGACATTTTGAAGCATTTTAAGGACTAGTAGCACTGCCAATTCTTAAACTTACCTAATAGTCTCTATTAAAAGATCCTTTTTTTCCAGTGCTTTAGTATTTTTGCCAGTCCTAAACTGTCTGGACTGAAATTTTCCATTCCTGGTCTGTGCTTTGGGCTGGTGTGGTTTTATTTATTTATAAATTTCAGCCAAAGCAGCTGCAGCTTCCAAGTATGAGCTTAGAGAAAAACAAGTTGTTTTGTCTGTGTTAAGAAATGAGGCACTCTCCAGAAGTACCACATCTTGGAGAAGAAAATTAAATGTTGCAAAAGCAAAAATAAATATGACAGCATCTTCAAGGGCATCATCTGTCCAAACATCTATATTCTCACTTATGTGTCCGCATGTGTTTTTAGATAATTTAAATGAGACTTTGCAGTCATCCACCCTTTTAGGAACACATTTGTGAAAATGCTGGGTTTCTGAGATGGAGTGGTAAACTCCATAGCAAGATAATAGCAAGACCAAGTTGTCAAAGTGATGCGAGTCTCCAAGCAGTATATGCAGCATCCCAATTACCATGAAGAAAGCCACAATCCTGTGTGATGAATATTCCTGCTGTGTTTTAGGACACTAGGCTTATTACATGCACTCTCTATGCATTGCATCAAACAAGATGCATTAGAGACCCTAGCAGCCTGTTTCAGAAATTAAATATAACTGTTCCTTTTCAGGTCAATGGTGTTTGTAGATGTGGTCTAGCTGTGCAGTATGTGTAAGGGAGAGATTATGAACTGTTGTGTTTTAGTGCCTATCTGTATCTTATTTAAATTGCAAATATTTTGTAATATCTATTCTGCAGATTAAATACAAGGAAGAAATTCGACATGCAACAACTATTTCTGATCCACCGGAACTAAGGAGGGTTAAGGAAAACCAGAAGAATATTAGCAATGTGTGGCCCATTTTCATTGCTTGCACACTTTTCTCTGCTCTATTAAATGTGTTTGTGTCTCAGTGAATATGTCTGTGGTGTTTGTGCTAGTTCCTCTTTGTCCACAAAGTCTAATTTAATTAATTAATGGTAAAATGATAACTTCTTAGCCTTGCACTTTGATTAACAACGAGAGTGAAGTATTCCTGTTGACCTATCACTTGTCTGTGTTTGAAATAGAACTGCAGGAGGGTGAGTACTAAGTATTGTGTGGAAAGATGTGGGTGATTATTAAGGTATGGTATTTTCCATCCAAATGCGGTGTGTTCTTTAATGATATCTAGCACACTGTTGTATTTCTATTACTCAGAAGTCTCTGTTGTAATATCTTCTGACATGTTTGCCAGGTTCAATACAAAGAACAGCTCTGGAAAGCTACACCTGTGAGTGTCACCCCTGAGATGGAGAGAGTCAAGAGGAATCAAGAGAATGTCAGCATGGGAAGTTGCTCGTTTAATCCTTTGCATAATTTTTGAGTGCACAGGATAAGTACAAAATTCTGCCTCCAGAAGCTGTGCCTTTTCTCTAGTTAGGGGCAAACTGATGTATTATAATGTATTGGGATTCAAGTAATGGAATTACTTGAAAACCCTCTTTTAGGAAACAATTGTGAAAAGGCATTGCTTCGTTTGGGAAATGGCACATGAAGCAACACATATTTGATAAAAGAAATGGCTGCAATGCTTTGAGACCCTTGAGGTGTTGTTCTCTGTCTTGGATATTTAGAGGAAATCTTGACCAATTTTTTTTTTAACAGAATGTCTGTTTCTAGATCTGTTTTACTTTTCTTTGCTTTATAGAAAATTAGCTACAGTTGTACTCAAACTTCTGCTCTCTTACCTATCTCATTCTGGTTCTTCAGTAACCTTTCTATAAAAGTTTAGTATTTAATAGCTGACATAACCATTAGAAAGTCATATGATTTGCAGGAGCACAGAGAAGACGGCAAGGACTTTTAGAGCATGCTACTGCCTTCCTGTATGGATGAAATTGTACCCTATTAATGAGTCTTTGAGAGACCAGCTGTTCTCCTCACTGGGAGCTGCCATCAGCAGCCATATTTAATGGGTCTACAAATAGCTACAGTGTTTCCCTGGGGTGTTTTCTGCTGCATTCACCGGAATTAATTTTGAGTCACAATTCTCAAGAATTCTGTCCCTCTAAATTAACTCCTGGATTTTTTTTTTTGATAGATCTAGCTCTTCTAAAATGTATTCTATTCAAACAAACCTATTTTCCCAAGTGATTCGAGCCAGTCTGTATGGTTTTCCTGCTTACATCATCATTTACTTTTCACCAATTTCTGTTTTATGCAAATTTCAATGAAAAGTTTAAATTATCTTCAGATTACTGGAATAGCTTTGAATGAAGATTCTTAAATTTCAGCTACTTCTGGAAACATTAATTCTTGAATCAGTTTACCTTTAAAAATGTCAGTTTGCATGTTTAATCCATTTGAAAGCTTACCATCATTTTTTCAAGACATTAATTTTTCAATTGGAATATATTGATGTGAACAGACCAAAACTGTGTTGTGTTGGAAGACATGTATTGCTTGAGCAATACATGCATTACTGCCACAGAGCACTGCAGAATTATGAGTATAATGTATCTGCACAGTTATCACATGAACCCAAGAGCTTATTAAAAGAAAGTGTTGTGTGGAAACATTAATTTTACAAAAAACTATATGGATTGGCATAAATCTCTTGCCAGAATCTCTTACTAAAAGTTTACTACATCTGACTTCCCAGCATTTGGTCCATCAATGCCGCATCTTATCTTTTATCTACTTTAGATGCTGATCCGGCCTTGAGCGTGCATTTGGTTAATGCATCATTGCTACAAGTGTGTTTTGTTAAAAAGTGATAAAGGGGATATTCCTACAGTACAGTTAAATAAATGCATGGTGCAATTTATGCTGGATTCAATTGGCAGTTGTCCGATGTATTGCACTCTCTGCGTTTAATCACCTTTGAATACGTAGAGTATAAAATTTAGAACATAGGTGGAAACCTTGTGGAGTTGCCGAGTCTTGACAAGTATATATTTGCAGTGGACCTTGCTGAAATTCAGTTTTTTGTTGCTCTGCTTGACTTTGCTTCATTACTTGTGGCCTAACCCCATTCCAAATATGCGATATGTCTCTGTACATCCAAGGACCAGTCTGGTAAACATCAGAATATTGTGTGCATATGTGTATATATATCCACAGAAATACATTAATAAGCACCCTATACAGAAAAAAATATCAAGGTTATATTTCAAAAATCAAGTTTTATAAACTTTAATAAACCTCAAATGCATTTTAGCTTTTCAGTTATTTCCTGGATGACTTCTTATATCATGCATTTTAATGTAAAACTATGGGATATTGCTTTAGCTGAAATAGTATGTACCATTTTATTCTGTTAAATAATAGGTTCACTACAGAGAGCAGCCTGGCAAAGCTACTGCTGTGAGTGTCACTCCTGAGATAGAGAGAGTCAGGAAGAATCAAGATAACATCAGCTCGGCAAGTTGTTTGAATCATTTTGTCATTTAGATTTTCAGTCATTGTGGAAATACAATGTGGATATGCTTTTCCATTTACATTTTACATGTCAAAGGAATCTAACTGCATCATATTCAGACTTCCCTGATTATTTTTGCAAAATAGTAAGTGGTTGTGTTGGTGCCAGTAGTTCTCAAGGCGAGAGTAACTAGAGGTCAGTCATTCTTTCAAGAATCTTTGTCTCTTGTTACCGAATTTTCATTGCTAGTTTGCAGGAGTGAACTGCGGTAAAGAACAAAGGAAATGAGAATTTAACTTCAGTGCAAATTTCTTGGGGTTTTTTTGCAACTCAAAGCATGAAAACATCCATGCCACTCTGTGACGTACCATCTATGTTAGAGCTGAGTAGTCCTAAATATGTCCCATTGCTAAATACTAAAGAGTAAAATAATATATATTTCTTGGCTTTTATGATAATAAAATTTAATTGCCACTATAGTCACGTAAGAAGCAGGAGACAATTCTATTAAGGAACAATGAAGAAGTCAAGACAGCATGGTGAAGTAAAGGATCAGACTAGTTTTGTTACAGTTTGTGTCCTCAACACCGAAACAGCATCAGTACCAAAGCTGTTGCAGATGGTAAACAGAAGAGGTTTTATGCAAAACCACTGTGTCAAGGTGGCAGAAGAGAACTAAAAGTAGTGAACACTTTAGAACTGAGTATAGGAGTGAAAAGGAAAGTACGTTGGATTTGTCAGAAGATTTGTCTAAGGACAAAGGAACAGAATCTAACATTGTAACTACACATATCTTAACTACTTTCTTAAAATGCTCATGAATATTTACCAAAATCAATTAGTTTTGAGGTGCATAGTTAAAAATAAGAGGAAAACTTCACAAAAATTCTAGACTTTAAATTTTTTTTAATTTGTGAAAATGAAATGCTTTTTGCCAAGTGACTCCTTCAATTTGTTTCTCAAGCATTACAGGGTAATAAGAAGGCAGCTTATCATCAGCCACACAAATATGTTTTAAAGATGTCCAAGTCACAGTGGTGTTTTCTTATTATTTGTCTTATTTTTCAGTCGATGAATTAATTATTTCGCTTATTAATTTAAACAGTCACGAATTTCAGCTTTTGGATAAATACTTTCTTTTGAGTAAGTGATTGATGGAATAAATGTGCCTTTTGGCCTTACAAGATGCCTTTTGGCTCATCTGTATCCCCCCTGTGAAATAACCTACTAGCAAATGAGTGTAAAGAGAGAAACAGGAAAACTGTTAGCATTGTAATTTGGAAAGGGTACTATTGCATGCTGTGATTCTCACCATCCTTTCTAATGTAAAGAAAAAATTCACATGTGCTGTTGTTCCTGTTTTGCAGGTCAAGTACAGCAGTGATCAGAGGCAGATGAAAGGTAGACGTAGTGTGCTTCTAGACACACCTGAGCTAAGGCATGTCAAAGAAACTCAAAACAACATCTCAATGGTAGGGTAATTTCTTCCTATAACTAGAGCATACTAAGGAATGGCACTTGGCTTCCACTGGATTTTGCCTTCCATTAATATAGGTAACTAATGGAATTCTCTCAAGTATGGAAGGAATATTTTCTTCTTATGCCTGTAGAGGGAGTGTTTGCTAACTGCATATGACTGTAATGAACATTTTCAAAATACTAATAAACAGTTTTCTAACAGTTAAATGTCTGTTCTTTTGTTTTTCTTTTTTTCCTTAAAAATGTACACACCTCATTTGAGCATAACAATTTCACTGGATTAGGTGACACACTTCACCTTGTGCCTGTGCACGTTCCTGGTTTCTGCGTGACTGTGGTTCTTGGAATGAGTTGTTTTGTGTGCATTGGCTTGTGTGAGAATGTTTATCAATTTAAATCTTTGATGATTAAGATTATTTAAAAAGTAAATATGCACAATCAGCAGTACTACCTTTATAACTCTTACTAATACAGGGGTTTTGTTCCAACACTTGGTGCTGTAACACTTTCTACTCTAATGTCGTTGTTTTTAATTTTTTTTCTTTGAAAATCAGGCTGTTGTTCTTTCTAAAAAAATATGTTTAAAGCCAGCTGGCATATGACAAAACAAAAGAGAAAAGAAATAGCTTTCTTATGAAGCTGTGCATGTAGTCAAAATTCTCAGTGAATGAAAATGTTTGAGTTCTTTAGAACTACTACTACTGGAACATTTTTATTGACAGATGTAGTTGTCTCCATCAGTAGAGAACTATCTTATTTTAAAGAAGAAGGGAATGGACCAGATGACCTCCTGAGGGCAGGGTTTTTTTGTCCCGTCTGACTGTAAGATGATGCTTTGCAGCTTGAGCTAATGCCTAATTTAGTGTCAATAGAAAAGAAAAGCAACATTGATAAAAATATATCAGGAAATCAAGTTAGGGTGGTGGAAAAGACTTGGCTGGCCATCCAGTCTGTCTCACGTGTACCAATTCTATTATGGTGCAAAGTTAAAGAATAGAAGTGCCTCATAAAACAAACAAATACATTCCTGCATAGAATAACCATTTGCTGTCAATTGCAGCTTAGGGAAAAATGTAATTCTTCTTTTTTCCTAGGTAAAATATCATGAAGATTTTGAGAAGACAAAGGGCAGAGGCTTCACCCCAGTGGTAGATGATCCTATAACAGAGCGTGTACGGAAAAACACCCAAATTGTGAGTGATGCAGCATATAAAGGTGTGCATCCACATATTGTTGAAATGGATAGAAGACCTGGAATAATTGTTGGTAAGTTGTTAAATAGTGTTGCTATTGAAAGCACTGAGGGAAGATAAAAGCCTCTGCTTGTGTTCTCCAGATTTCTTTTTCACTCTTTTCTCAGCATGAAACTTTTGGTTGAACTACTGGTTCCATGTTAGCTTCTAGCGAAGTAATAATGAGAATGGATGGGAGATACATTATCATTTGCTCTGTATTTTTTTTAATATGGGTAGTCTGCTATGACTTTAAAGTTGAATTTTGACTCTATAAGGAAAGCAAAAATATATGCAATAATCTTAATTTTGCACAGAAGAAAGATTATTAAGATTGTGATTCTCCAAGATTTGAATGTTCAAATGTTGCAGGCCTGTTTGAAATTTCCCCTTCTGTCAGTCAGTAATTTCTGCAGAGCTGTACGTATCCATTTACCTTTTCTTTTAGAATTTCACACAGCTTTCAGAAGTTATGTTTTAAAAGGTGGTGAAAGATGTGATCAGGTGTTCAAGGGTAGAATACGGATTAGATTTGTATGTAAAGACAAGATATTGCATTAAGATATTATTTGGGATATTCATAATGAACTCTATTTAAAAATTGAAGTGGATATTTGGAATGGATTAAAAGTTATCAAGCCTGCTATGGCAAAGGAAATGGCAGCCTGAATTTTTTTTCTCCTTTCCTTTTCTTTTGCTGTGTCCCTTTTCTCTTTTTCTTTGCTTTACAACCATGTAGACCCCAGAGAATCTATGTACAGAAAAAGATGCTGAGATAACACTCAAAAATCCTTCATACATAGTAATAACAGCAAAGTTGACTTTAACTTGCAAAACCCAGAGAAACTGCAGGTGAAATGGACTAATTGGCAAGTCAATATAGTCCATCCTCCTGCCTAAAGCAAGGTTAGCTATATCATTCCTGGCAAACGCTTTTTGGTCTTTTCCTTAAAGTCTCCAAATACTCTCCCCTATAGCTAGAAGTGGTGCAGCCAAAGAGAGGAAATCTCCTGCAAAACTGCAGTGTAATATGCAGTTTGCAATATGCTGTTTAGTGCACACTTCAAACCTCCTACTCTATCCTGCATTGCATGTGTGCTGTAGCCCTGTGTAAGAATTGTGTACAATCTGATGTTCAACAGTTGAAGGGTTGCTAACACGAGTATATTGGGATTAAGAACATCTCTGAGATAAATTCTTGAGCTGTAACTGAAATACTAGTACTATTTATCACCTTAAAATACTCCAGTATCAAAACACACAGAAATTCTTAATCCCCCATGCCTGCCAAACGGCAAAAATAGTACAATTATTTAAAGGAAAAAGTCTGTGGCAAACCTGTGATATTTCAGCTAATGCTTTTTCAGAGAACTGCAATTGTAATACCTACTTGTTTAAAAAGAAGCAGTGAGCTCCTTGCTCATGGAATGTCCTTGGCAGCTCAAAAAAATCTGCAAACTGAAAAACACAACTATGACTCTTGTGAGTTTTCTTCCTAGCTGATAATTGTTCATCCAGTTAGTTAGTACCTCTGTACCTAGAGTGCCTCTGATTGATTTTTAATGTATTATTGATGAAGCTGTAACAATTTTTCAAATGCCTGATTGCTGAAGTTAGTGTCTCAGCTTCAGCAAATAGGCACTAGTTTTTAGCCATGCTAAAGCCCATCAAGATAAACTGATGTAACTGAGCTTTGGATCTGTTACTAAAGAGGAACCACAATTCTCACATGAATATAAAGATATTTTAAAGTGGCAAAAGTAACCAGGGAGTTAAAATTGATTTGTGTTATAAATTGCCAAGATTCTGATTCTATGTATGTTATTTCGCGTTACAGAGATGGATCAAATCAATCCGAATCAATGGCTGTTGCACTGTTGCATGAAGCCATACTTATTACACTTTTTACTTACTAAGGCATGCAAACAGGAAAAGTTGGGCATTCACCAATTCCCCCAGCCCTCTCATACCTGTCAGTGCTTTATGTAGTTGCGTAATTTATCACCATTAGGACTAACACATAGTTTATCAAAAGATTTTGTGTTGGCTTTAATTCATCTTGGCAGGGAGGAGTTAGCACTACACCTCACCTTATGGGAGTTGCAGTAGATAACGTATAATGTACATATACTGAATGTATTCTAAAGCTGTGGGATTTATTTTATTAGCTCTGTCTGTTCTTCCCATTGCATCTAGGCTATTAATCATTTGAAACATGACATATTTGGGGTCCTCACAGTCCTACTTTACCTATCAACCCATTATTTATCTTGCTACCACTCAAACCAGCAAAAGAACAAAGTTGGAATGACAATTTTTTCCTATTTCAAATGCATTGAGTAAATGTTTCAGACAGATCTGCCCAAGAAGAAAACCCCAGTAAAAAGGTGTGATCTTGTAAATTTGTGCTTTGATTTTGTATTTTACATCAAGGTTTTATTTGAAACTGGTGTGAAGAGATAAATAATTATTTTATTTTAGAATAGCAGATATCATAGAATCATTTAGATTGGAAAAGAACTTTAGGATCATCAATACCAACAATTAACCTAGCACTGCCAAGCCCACAACTAAACCATGTTCCCAAGCATCATGTCAGCACATTTTTAAATATCTCCAGAGATGGTGAACTCAACCACTTCCCTGGGCAGCCTGTTCCTGTGCTTGATAAACCCTTTCAGTGAAGAATTTTTTTCTAATATCCAATCTAAAGCTCCCGTGGAACAACTTGAGACCATTTTCTCTCATGGTGTCACTTGTTACCTGGGAGAAGAGACCTACTCCCGCCTTGCTACAGTTTCCTTTCAGGTAGTTGTAGAGAATGGTAAGGTCTCCCTTGAGCCTCCGTTTCTCTAGGTTGAACGCCCCCAGCTTCCTCAGCTGTTTCTCATCAGACTTGTGCTCCAGACCCTTCATTGGCTTTATTGCCTTTCTCTGCACCTCCATGTCCTTCTTGTAGTGAGTGGCCCAAAACTGAACATGGTTCTTACGGTGTGGCTTCATCAGTGCCCAGTACAGAGGGACAATCACTGCCCTGGTCCTGCTGGCCACACTACTTTTGATACAGGCCAGGATGCCATTGGCCTTCTTGGCCACCTGGGCACTGCTGGCTCATGTTCAGCCACTGTTGACCAGCACACCCAGATCTTTTTCCACTGGGCAGCTTTCCAGCCACTCTCCCCCCAGCCTGTAGCGCTGCATGGAGATATTGTGACCCAAGGGCAGGACCCAGCACTTGGCCTTGTTAAACCTCTTATCACTGGCCTTGGCCCATCAATCCAGCCTGTCCAGATCCCTCTGTAGAGACTTTCTACCTTCAAGCATATGAACACTTCTGCCCATATGAATTGTATACATTAAATTTACACTGTACCTGCCTCTGCATTTATTATAAGCCTCCTCTTAAGTTGTACAATTCTGTAATTATTTGTTAAAAGTTTATTAAAATGTAGTTGAATCTATATTTACTTTTCTGTTGTGATTTTAACTTAAAGTCTGATATGAAATTAATTATTTCCTATGGACTCTTTTTTCTTTCAATATCCTGTTGAGATGTGATTTTGAGAGATCTTAATAACTTGCATATATGAATTAAACCTGAAGATCTTATGAGTACCACTGTTATTGAACTCATACATTGAATTCCAGAAATGCTTTTCAGTAGTGGGGTAATGAATCAACTGTAAGTCTGTGTCCCAGGAAACAGATATTTGGAAGACAGAGGAAATTACTAGTTAAGATCAAGAGTGGACTTCCTTTTACCCATCTGTAGATGTCTACAAGGTAGATTTCTACTGCTGAATTCGTCACCTTAGACCATTTTTTGGATTAATTAAGAAAGATGGATACTTTTGAATTTATATAAATTAAGCAATTAGTAGAAATTTATTTTGGATAAGATGAACTGTGCCTCTGATTCTGCTTGATCTCTCCTGTATACAAAGGAGGGTCTGTAGTGTCTCTGTCTGGAGTAAGGGTGCTGTTGGTGAACTGTGAAAATACCTTTGTAGCTCTGATTCTTTTGGTTCTGCTTCTGGAAAAGAGCTCTGGTATGTGATACTTAACTTGTTTCCATTTATTTAGAATTAAGAAAATACTATGGTCATGTTTAGAAAATGGAAATAAATTGGGAGCAAAAGTCTCCTTACAGTAGTGTCAAAGCTTAAAATGAATGTTCTTTTAAGCAGGAAATTAATGCTTTCTGATATTTTCATGTGAATATCTAGATATTTTGGTTAATTTCTAGATGAAGAAAATTGATTGCTGATTGCTAAAGATCATTCCTTTCATGCTTGTTGTTTATCTGTCTTATAATTTCTGTGCTTTGGAAAAAGATCTTAAAGTTTGGCGCACAGATCCTGGCTCCATCTTCGACATTGATCCTCTGGAGGACAATATTCAGTCTAGGAGTCTGCATATGCTTTCTGGTATTGCTTATATCCTGACTTTTCCATGCTCTTTATGTTTTTGAAACTAAGTGATACAGTAAATTTTCAGGTCAATGTGCCAGCCATATGTTTTATAAGTATGCTTTCATATATATTTATAACTGCAGTAGTTTAAAAGCAGTGTTTTATAGGAACTTCAGCTGTAATCACATGCGCAGATAAGAAATAGTGAAATAAATCTTATCCTAAACAAGTTATTCATGCTACTTACAAGTAGCCACTTAAAAAGCATTGACCTACTTTGTCCTCACTATAAGCAGAATTTTCAAATAGTTGGACCTTATAAAATTTCAGAGTTACAGAAAGTGGCCTATTTATGAAATTGGTTTTTTATGCATGTTTTACCTATATGGAATATGATATTATGCTTTGTGCTATTATTCGCAACTCCAAGGCATTCATAATTTAAGGATAGATGGAAAAGGAGAGAAAGTAATATAATAACAGGTATCAGTGTTTTGGCTTTACAAGTTTATGGATTTTTTTCCACCCTATAAGTGTTTCTTTTGAACGTTTAATTTTGCACGTGTTTTCTTTGCTACTGATAGCAGAACTTTAAATATTCCTTTGAATAATATACAGAGGT